AACTCAACAAGTTTTATATTGAACGAAGGAGCTTTTTGGATCAACACCAACCACCACCACTACCACCACTAGTTGTGATTGATGACCAACAAGAGTATAAAATGGATAGTATTTTGAAGCATCACTACCATCGCCATGGCAATGGACATCCACAACTTCAATACAAAGTTCTTTAGAAAGGTTATTCCATCTACAATGCAACATGGAAATTTGCACAAAACCTCATTGATTGTTAGAAAACCATTTGGAATTACTATTAGGAGCAAAATAAGGATGTTCCGTATTAGTGGAGGGAGATTAGTTGTAATAGGGCATAGATACGATATTTGTATTATTTGCACATATAGAGATGTAATTGGAGTCATTTTTGGAAAGTTTCTAGAATTGAAGTTAATGTGGTGGTTCATGTAGAATCTCCCATAGATCCTTTTAGAAAGGCTTAAGTCGGTTATCATGGAAGGACCACATCTAGAAACTTTTAGAAAAGTAATTATTTTAACAATAACTATTATTAGAAATATTCTAGAAAGTTCTAAAGATAATTAAATAAAGTATAAATAGTACTAATTGAGACTATTTAGGCATTTGATTAGGTATGGCTTCAGACTCTTTTTCTTAATAAAGCTTGGCTGTTTTTTCTTGTTCTATTTTGTTTAGACATGTTTGATTCTATTTTCTTTTACTTAGTTCTATCTTTCATGTTCCATTCCATTTAATTACTTTCAGTTTTGTTTTGGTGTGCTTAGTCTTATATTGTATCTTTGTTATTATGAAATTGGAAAGATTTTAGACCTTAGAGAATTTAATCCTATTTTATTTTTTCTACCTTTTGCTTTTAAGCCAATATTCAAAGAGAATAGCTCAATCAAATTTTGGAGCAATATTTGTAATGTACCATCAACTATTAACAAGATGATTGGACCTTGTATTTATCTTTAATAGAGTTTAATATTAAAAATACTTTTCATGCTTAAACTTAGCAAATATCATTTTATGCCAATTATGGTTACTATCCAAAGCTTGATTTATTATGTACATCAAAGGATGAAAATCTAGCAACTAAAGATCTTCCAAAATAATTATCATAGCTTCAGACAACTTTGAAGCTTTATTTACAAGTAGCTTAAGATTTTCACAAAACATCTTTAATCAAATTAAGAAAAGAATTTCCTACTTTTCAAGTTGGAGATAAAGTATGGCTTCTTTGACAAAATATCAAAACCAATTAACCTTGCAATAAGTTGGACTATCAAAGACTAGGGCCATTTTGTATTCAAAAGCAAATCAATTCAATCACTTATTGGTTGGAACTATCTACATCTATGAAGGTACATCTAGTCTTTTATATTTCTTTCTTAGAAGCTTATTCATAATTAACTATTTTCAAAAGAATACAACCATGTATTGAAATAGATAATCATATAAAATATGAAGTGAAAAAGTTCTTTCATTTTCAACAAAGAAGAGGCAAGTTGGAATATTTTATTCATTAGAGTGGCTATGATATTAATGAGCATATGTGAGAATCAGCAAAAAACCTAATTAATGTGCTACAAAAGGTACAAAAGTTTCATTGATGCTATCTTCAAAAAACTAAATTTATTTTAGAATATCTTTTCAATGAAGCTACTACTATGATGTTGTATATAACAAACAGAGAAAATATTGCTCACAACAACCTTAGAATTTAGTTTACGCAATTTATAATCTAATATGTCGAGTTGGAGAGTATTTAGAGAGTTTTTAGATCATAAATCTCAAAATAGACCTAGGATTGGACCTTTTCTTATTATTGCTACCAAATCAATTATTTTAGCTTTTGCAATCTTTATAAGATTATCCTTGAGATGAAGTTGGATTTTTTTGAGGGAGAAAACATCTACGTTATAATCAACTCAAACAAAAAAAAACTTGAAGATGATACTCAAGCTTTGGTTATTCTATTGCAAATATGAAACCAATGCTCTTCATGGAACTTGAAGTTAGATGGAGAAGTGATATTATGGACATTCAACAAGAAGATCTTGAAAATACTTTTAAAAGATTCTATCAAGTTTTAGAAGGTTCTAAAAGATTCTTAAATATTTTAATGGGAAGTTTTAGAAGATTTTCAAGATATTTTAAAAGATTTTAGAAGATTCTAAAATATTTTATAAAATTCTAAAAAGTTTTACAAGGATTAAAGAAGTTGTCCTAGAAGCTTCCTAAAGTTGCTTCATCTTCAAGCAATATGAGAATTTCTTAAGAAGCTTCTTAAAGTTGCTTCATCTTCAAGCAACATAGAAACTTCTCAAGAAGCTTCTTAAAGTTGCTTCATCTTCAAGCAACATAGAAACTTCTCAAGAAGCTTCTTAATACCTAATATATATTGAAGTTGAGGTTGAGGAGATCTTCACTATTGACAATACATCTCTTTGTGTTGATTTTATACTCATCTAGTTTAATCAAGTTCTTGCTAGCTTTCTTGTTGAAATTTTTTTATTCAACTTCTTGTTTGGTCTCTTATATAATATATTTGTGACAATTTTAAAGTTAAAATAAAATAAAATTTGTTAATTTTTTTTAATAAAATATAGTTTTAAAATAAAATGATAATAGATATATAATCTTAAAATAAAATTTTAAGATTCACAATATTAAACATATTTAAAAATTTTCATAGTCATGTGATAAAATGTCTTGATAAAAAGGTAAATTATTATAATTGTTGGATTTTTCATAGATTTTTTTTGTTATTAATTACACCTTTAAAAATAAAAAAATAAGTATTGTATTGAAGTAAGCTTTAGAATCTTCAAATATTTAATTATTTAGTCCTACAATAATTTTAAAAAATAAAAATAAAAAAAATGAAAAAAAGAGACTTTGGTACCATGTACAATAGTCCATAATTTGTATTAGGTAATAAGCATTTCAACTTTGTGCTTTATGTTGTATAGTTGGAAGAAGAAAAAGGGAGTGAGATATGATTGCATAGCAATACATGATCCTAATTTAATCATAGTTAAATAATGTTACAATGAAACAAAGGGACAATTTGCTTGTATGTATCTATATATATATATATATATATATTACATCATTCTTTGGAGGACTTAATAAATATATATATATATATATATATATATTTCTAAATAATCAATATAAAGATGTATAATAGATATATTTAAAAATAATGCCAAATTTTTTTTATTTTATTTTATTATATTAAAGTATACAATACGTATCACACTTTTTAAAACCAAGCTAAATTATAAATGTTTTGAGCCCAAAAATAAAGTTGAACAAAGATATAAGAGGGTCTAGAATTCTAATAAGAATGATCGAGGAAGTAGATGACATCGAACGTTTCCCTCTTCAACAATGTGTAGAAAACCAAAATCTTTCCTTTAAAAATATTGAAATCCAATATCAATGACAATATAATAACTTCTGTCAGTATATTAATCACTACCCCATCTCTTTAAATGCTCTTTAAATACCACAAACAAACATGTGAAGCATACATTTTGAACTCCATCTTCAACACACAAACACTCACAGCTTTCTTAGCACCCCTTGCAAAGGAAAAAAATAAATTATAAACGTCATTTCTACGCACTTTTTTCTCATTTCGAAAACAAAAAATTACGAACAAGAAGCATAAAAACTCATACGCATAAATTGTGAACCCAAACTTGGGCGCTGTATTGGTGAAAAATGCACAACACACGGTCATGGAATTGTGCACAATATCGTCGAGATATTTGGTGATTACAAAATGGAGTGAACACAGCAATAGAGTTGCACACAAGAGAGTACAAATCATTGGGTGGGAGCCAGATGAGATCATCGAGGTTAGAAAGATGGAGCTGGACTCGCAAAAGCACTGCACAAACAGTAAACACAGGAAGCATGATCTGCTAGTCTTGACGAGCATCACAGATGTTACCGCATTCCAAGCCTCAGAAACGTCTTCTGAGCTTCAGATTCCGTCATTTCGTGTCGCAAACTTCATGTTTTTGTCATGGTCAGATTGCATGGTCGGTTCACTACATCTGCTGTTAATCTGAGTTTGAGTGGAGGAGCTCCGTTGTGTAGATCTCTGGGCACCAGTGAAGCAGCTCACACTGTTACTAGCTCCTCGATTCGTGTTGTTGTTTGTAATTCGTCACGCATAGTTGGGAGAATAGGAACTTGTCGACTTCGAGTGCAACTTGGGTGTTTTTTTATATCACAAGGGTTGGGTTTGCACCATGATTCGACGTTGCCATTCTTCGACCGTTACGGATGTGGGCATTGACGATAAGTTGGAGACGCTTGGTTCCCCAGTGCTTGCTTGGTAAATATAGGGCGTGACTATGTCGGTGCTTGCTTTATCACGCGTGCTGTCGAGACTGTAAATAGGACAGCAAATTCCTGGTGTTGTTCGTGTAGTCGCTGATTCAGTCACACAAAGATATCGTCTTTCGTGATCAGTTGCTGTTGCCATATTCGGGTTTTTTAATTTACTTCGAGGAATTGTCGGAGTATTAAACGAGTTCTTGACTGGAGTGTAGGTTTTTTCGGTGGGTTTTGCATCAGCTATCATCTAAAAGGCGATACGGACTGTTAAATTTATGGAACGGAGTGACCGAAGACATCTGTCCATGCTGCGTTGACCAAATTTCTGCTGAAGCGAGTGATCTCGCTCCCCTTCGTGATTGCGAGGTTATGCTTCCAGCTATGTCTTGTTAGGGTCTGCCCACACTTTAATCCGAAAGATGAGAATCAAAATCTATTAATTTCTTTGCGCTAAGCGAATCATTCCCCTGCTGGATCTTTTACCCCCATGAGGTGAATATTACATTTGCAACACTTATTTTTATTTTTATTATTAATCTCCCGCTGTTTGTCAGGCTTCACAGAGTGGCAAGCTACGTGTAGGAAAGCTTATCCTTGCATAACTTTGATGTAAGCTTTTCGGGCGAGCTCCCGCTTCGCTTATTCTTGTATTCTATTCCATCCTCCGCATCTAGGCTGGACTTGATAATCTCGGGGTTAGTCAGCTTTGCCTGCCCTGTTGGCTTTTTTCCTTCGGCTCCTAGCTCCGTGCCTGTCACTTCACTCAGACCTCCTGACAAATCTGCTGCTTCACAGACGGGAAGGTTCAGAATTTGGTTGTGGGAGGTGGGTTCACAGCGCAGAGCTATTTGGTGTCTTTGTCGTGGGTTCTCGTGAGATTGCCTGGTACCGACCAGTGTGTGGTTTTGTTAGCCGTCTGTCTTCAGGAGGTTTGGGCGGTGCCGGGGAAGACTTCTGGAAGGCGGGACAAAGTAGCGGAAAGGGTGCTTCCAATTTGGTTTGTCTGGAACCTCGTTTCGACGATTGCGATTTGTCAAGTGGAAGAAACCATATGGGTTTGTCATGATCGTCGACACTATGGTTGGGTTTCTACCGACGATTTAGCATAGTTTGGGTTGCGGATCTTTGTTGAAGTGCATGGTATTCTCGGTTGAGGTCGTTAAAGTTCCCAAGATTGTATCACTGTGCAAACATCTGACGTTTTCTTTACACGCGGAGAGTTTTCGAAGAAGTTGCTAGCCTTTAGGGTTTGGCGACGGGGAGCCCAACCTATTTCTTACAATTTCTGGCTGGTTCTTACCAAGAATTTAATAATAGAAATCGTCTGTTCAAGTCACTCATATTTGGGAGGCAAATTCCAGATCCGGAACTCCCTCAGCAGTCCAATCTGTTGGACTGCATTAGTTTTTCAGGATCTAAATGCGTCGGGGTTCTTTTTGTTGATAATCACGGCTTTTCTGAACGTAAGCACGGTATCAACTGCTTGTACACGCGCTAATTAGCGGGTGTATGTGCTTTAGTAAGGACCCCAGAGGATACGTTGGCTATATTTGGGATTGGAATCTCTGGTGCGCAAAATATTGTCACTTAAGTCCTGAAGTCCTTGCGGGCGGAAGGCATCAGAGTGCACGAGAGGCGCAATTAAGGCGTGTATAGCTCTCCGTTTCCATCAGGAGGATTTGTATCTACATTTGGAGTCAAACACCACTTCTCAAAGGCACGTACTGGAGAGGATTGCTGCCACAATCTAGGGGCGAAGTGAAATATAGCAAGCTCATGATTATTGGACTTCACGACATAGCAGGTGTTTTATATTGAGATTTGTTGCGAAGGAACACATGCGCAGGGGTTTTTACTTAGCTTCTTGTGAGGTGACTCTTCAATAATATCCTCCTCGTCAATATCAACATCACTAAATCTTTTAAATTTCAGGCCACAATCTAGGTTGGATTTGTTTTTTTGGTCTTGCAAATTGAGGTCACCTTTTTGAGACTCTCAAGCGACGCAAGTGCCGAGTTGTAATTTGATCTCCCACGTTTGAGTCTGCAAGGTTTGTAGGGTTTCTGGAGGCGTATGTTCCAAGGCACTTATTTAAAGAATTTGAGGTTCAGAGAATCGCGCCCACACATCTCAGTGTCTGAGAAGGTGTTTTGAGGTGGCTCATTCCGTAGCGTATACACCTTTACTTTTTTCTCGACCTCGGTCGATTTAGGGTTGGGCGATCGTGCTGCTTCAGGGCTCTGGTCTTGCAAATTTAACACCACATTCTTGACTAGGGATAGTGAGGATACTTTCCTCGACCCCCTTTGAGTAGCACTGCTTGGAACATTTTAGAATCTTGCTTCTAGTTTCTGCATTGCTAGCAGCGAATCAATTTCAAGCGTTTCTTGAGGTTGTTTACTTCAACTAGTAATGGAGAAGAGAAAAGCGCAGATCCCTCTTGTGTGCCACGGACATTCCCGTCCAATTGTAGATCTTTCGTATAGTCCCATCACTCCAGACGGGTTCTTTTTGGTCAGCGCCAGCAAAGGTATGTACACTTCTTTGGCAGCCGAATCACTATTTTCTTGCGCCCAAATGCTCAAAATGCCAAATTCTGAGCGGAGTGTGTTTCTCTATGTTTTAGTATGTATTAGTACTGACAATACCATATCCTCTGTTCGCTTTCTGGTTATTAAATCATATGTATGGGACAGTGCGAGCAGAGTTGTGGTGTATATCTGTGTTGGATTTTTTGGGCCTTGCAGTTGTATTATTAAATGCTTCAATCATGTAAATTTTTCATGTGTATGGAAAAGTAAAATACATCTCGTTAGTGACAATTCCTAGATAACCTCGGTAGAATGTGAAGTTCTTGTTTGATGTTCCATCGAGTTATAAATTGGCGTGCAGATATCCTTTCCATGTTCTGTAGAGTTATTGCAGGTTTGGGTAACAAGACTTGTGTTGCGGAGAACTTAACTCATTTTTGGCAACCTCGTGCGTAGATGGGAAGCCAATGCTCCGGAACGGTGAGACAGGCGATTGGATTGGAACCTTTGACGGCCATAAAGGAGCTGTATGGGCAGCATGCCTTGACACTCCCGCATTGCGCTGCGCTACTGCATCAGCTGATTTTAGCGCGTAAGTGGATTTTTACGTTTTGTATCTGGTCATAGTCTGTGAGTGAGATTGCCCGAAGAAATTGAAGAAGCGCATGTAGGGATCGAAGATTTGGTCTTCTTAAGTAGTGAATACGCAGCTCGTGATTTGAATTTGGTTGTTCAGTGAAGGTGTAATTTAGAGAGTTTTAGACTTGTGATATCTATACATTGATTTGCACGTGTTGCATTTTTTCGAAGAGAATTCGAGTGATAGATATGCTTAAAATTTGATACAATGGGAGTTATTGAGGTCTGGAACTGGATTTGGATTGCAGGAGGGTGTGGGATGCTTTGACAGGGGATGAACTATATTCATTTGAACATAAGCATATAGTTCGAACTTGCGCATTTTCTGAGGTGTGCTTTCTTGTTTTACTGCCTCAGTTACATTGTCTTCTAGATACTTATCATAAATATTCATTGCGAAAATTACCTGCTTTTATCAACTTTAACCTTGTCCTTCATGTTTTGCATACTAATTGTAGAATATCTGCATGTCTTATTGGGCAATGAACTTTTTTTTATTTACCTGGTAGCCTCACGTTTTGTGTCTTGCAATGTAGCCATTTTACATACTACCGTTTCAATTTTTGTCTTTTCTTGTGTATAAAAGCTTTGTAATATACTGATTAAGGTGTGGATGTCTTGTTTTCAGAGCACTACACACTTATTGACAGGAGGTGCAGAGAAAGTTCTGCGAATTTTTGATCTGGGCAGGCCAGACGCACCTCCAACGCTTCTCGAATGCTCTCCGGAGACTCCTATCAGGGCAGCAGTTTGGCATCACAGTGATCAGACCATTTTAAGCTCTTCAAATGACATTGGGGGTCTAAGGTGTGCCACATTGACATTGCATTTCTACAGTTCAATTACAGCACTCAGGAGGTGCTTTCTGGTATTTGACTTTTTTAGATATAGGTGGATATATTTATTTTTTCACTTATCATTGATTACTGTAAATCCACCAGAGTATGGGATGTGAGAACCAAGTCTGTGGTCCGGACTTTGGACACGAAATCATCCTGCACTAGTGTGGAGGTCAGCAGGGACGGTCGGTACATCACCACAGCTCATGGCAACACCGTGAATTTTTGGGATGCTAATCAGTAAGTTTCGCTGTTCTTGTTCAAGAATATGTTCAAACCTATTGCCGTAGATTAATCTTTGTTGGTAGAGAATATAAATTCGTTACCTCTGCTACAATTGGTGGTCTCTACCAGAGACCCTGATAGTCTAAGCATCTCGTTTTTTTTTAAGTCAACAACGCATGAAAAACAGATTGTGTCTTACGAAGCATGTTTTTCGTGCAGCTTTGGGTTGGTAAAGAGCTACACTATGCCCAGGCCGGTGGAATCAGCATCTCTCTTCCCCTCCAAAGGCAAGTTCATTGCAGGCGGTGATGATATGTGGGTTCGCCTCTTTGATTTTGATACCGGCGATGAAATTGGTAAGTCCTTTGTATCTGGTTCCGGGATTTCCTCAAGCTGTGCTATCTACAGGAGTTCTTGCATATTTTTATCAGAACTGGCGGATGCGACGTCACGATGCCTTGCTGGCCACCTCTACATAGATACAGTTGACCACTGCCAGTTATTACTTTCACTTTGAATGAAAGTTCACCTGATATTGTATATACGTGCAATATATTAGCATTTTCGAAAGCGAGTTCCAGTACTTTGCGTTTATTACCACCCTGGCTGATCGCGTAGTGTTTTTATTTTTTATTTTTTTCTGTATGCAGAATGCAATAAAGGGCACCACGGTCCTGTGCACTGCGTTCGTTTCTCTCCAGGAGGAGAATCTTATGCATCTGGCTCTGAGGATGGCACTATCCGTATTTGGAAGACAGTGAATGGAAGTCAGGAGGCCGAGGTGGGTGGTCTTGCTGAAGCTGCAGCAGGAAATCAGATAAAGGTCAGAGTCGACGAGGTTGCAAGGAAGGTGCAAGGCTTTCACATTGCTCAAGAAGATGGCTCACAGTTCTGATAGCCAAACTCCTGCTATGACTCCCATCCTCACATCCTAGTCAAGTTTTATGACTAGGGTTCAAAGGATTCTGCTTGTAGAGGAGCTTTCTTTCGGAGGCTGTGCACTATGTTGTCTTCGCAGGAGATCTACGAGACTGCCTTTGCTTGTATTTGAAGATCATTTGCGTCACCGTTGCATGTGCTAAGCGCAGTTTAGGGATAGTAACCTTTATACGGGCTGCTAGTCTGTGGTGCTTGTATATGCAGAAATGACGGATTGATTTTGGAAGTCTTGCAGTTGATCAAACCATGGAATATAGAAGTTTCTTGCGACTTGACCAAACCTGCTTCTTTGAATTTTGCTCAGTTGATTTTGTTTGTCGATATGGATTCTATTATGGTGACACTTTTTGGAGGCTTTCATTAAATAGTGAAGGAAAACCGAGTATCCTCTTCCTTAAACGTTTGTGTTACATCCCAGGGGGTCTAGCAGCTACGCTTACTCTCTCAAGGAGACTCGGCATGTGATCTCTTCAGTGGTGTGTATAACAACCTGGTCTAAACAGAAGTACTCGCCCCAACCTGGTGCATAAAACGCATTAATATCTAGGTTTTACTTGCCTCTAGCAGGCGATGACCAGAGTCACCTGCAGAACCTTCACCATGTGGAATTTGCCTCACATGATCCAGTCATGGATTGCTTTTTGTCGATCTTAGAACGCGAGGATCTCGATTGGAATCCAAAATACACTAGTTCACCAAAGTGGCATCTACAAATGGGAACTGGAAAGTGGGTCTAGCGCATACTAAAGATACTAACTTTTTGCAACAAATCGAGTCATATCTAATGCTTCGGTAGCATCCATCAGATAAGGATTACCACTAGAAACTTCTATGAAATTTTCTATTTTCATCAGCTTAGAAGTAGAGCTCGCAAAAGTTGTATAAAACTAGACCCTATCTCCCTAAGTGTTACACTATGACCAGTGGCCTAAATCAATAAGTTGGTTGTTAAAAGCGTGTTTGTGAAATAATAGCCTTGCTAGATAGAAATTCACACATGGATAAAAAGAATTGTTTATAAAAAATATAAGAATAAGAATTGTAAATTAAATAAGAAAGAAATTGTTTAGAGTTATTCAACATAATTTTTGTAATTGATTACTAGTTTGTAAGGTTTTTTTAAAAAATATGTTATGTAATTTAGAAATCTTTACAAATAAATAGATATTTTTTTGTGATTGCAATATGTAAATTTCTAGATTACTTATTCTTATATAAAATTATGTTTTAAGATTCTTAAAATCTTTGGAATATGAAAATTAAATCATTATATATTTATACTAAAAACAGTGTAATTTTTAAGACTTTTGTGCAAGATTCATAAAATTTAAACAATTTTACAATTTCTACAAATTAGTAATGTTTTTTTGCAATCAACATTTTTTTTGAGAATAAAATGGATTATACATTAAAGTTTTGTTTTATTTAGAAGTTTTTTTTATAAAAAATAATATTTTTTTTATTTTTTCTTCTATGTTAAACAATAATAAATGTACAATTTATGCTATTGCTAATAGTTAAGAATTAAGATTGATCTACGAACTATTAATGTCTTAAATTTAATATAATTAAAAAAAAAATATTTTATATATATATATATATATAATATTTAACCAACTAAGCCTTTTTGTTTCAATACTAAAAAATCTCTAGCCAACTATCTATGTTGATTCTAAAGAACTAAAAAACCACTCATCTTTAGGATATTTACTTACTTTCATCCATTATGATAGGATGCTAGATAAGATCTTGGTTTATAAAAAGATTTATGAATAGAAAGTTGTTAAATTGTCTCTTTTAATATAAAATAAGAAAATCGTATATACTTAGACATAAATCAATAACTTGATATTATAAATTTAAACACAATACTAAAGCCAACATTAAAAGTTAAATTGATTAAAATCCTTTGTCAATATATATATATATATATATATATATTTGCTAGGTCATAAAATCCTAAGCACATACCAAATTATATAAGATAATATTTAATCAAATTTAGTACCAATATTAAACTTCTCTATTACAACTAATATTTGATAAGTTTTAATTGTTACAAAATTGTAAATTTTTTTTTATTAAATTCCTATAAGTAATCTTTATCAATGTAATAGATAAAACTATACTGATGTTATAGTTTTATTAGCATTAAGTTTCAAATTTGAATATAATAAAAAAATTAAAACTATGAAGAAAAAAATATAGCTAGATAGATAGATATCATCTAAAGAGATATTCAATGCACTATATGGCAATAAAAGCATTTTAAATATTTATAGATGGCTACATATTTATAATTAAATTAAGATTAATCTTAAAGACCAATATAAAATAAAATACATTGTTATTTCTTTTGTTTCAAAAATATTCTTTTCACTTATCAAAGAATAATACATAAAGAATTAAAAGAATATCCAAGTATATTTATAAAGTTATTTAAAAAAATAATAATATGAAGAATATAAAGTCAATTTTTTAAATAGATGTAAAGAAGTAACTTCTAATTGGAGTTAAATTAGAAGTATATTATTTTATTATCAATTGGTATTCCCAATAAGCGGAGTTGATTGCACCACTATGCAATGAATAGCCAATAGTTAGGATTCATAAGTTAAGAAGTTAGGCTACAATCTAGCTTAAGGTCTGGCTATAGATTGCATTAGTATGTGGTAAATGGCCAACAGAAGGGATCAATGGGCTTGTATACTAGATTGTAGTCCAACTATAGCAAAGAAGGTTGAAAGAAGGTTGATAGACAAAACAACAATATACAATCAATTTATAAAGTATAATTTGTGTAGTTTTATTTTTTGTTTGTTATTGGTTCTTACATCAATCTTCTTTTCTTTTCTTTTCTTTTTATTTTGATTTGAAGTTTTATTTGATTTTTTGTGTGTTTTTTTTTCTCTCTCTCTCTCTTTTGCAAATTATCAGTAAAGTTTATTTATCAATACATTGACACAATATTTAATTTTACTTATTTTAATCTTATGTTCCCTTAACATTTAAAATTAAAACTATTTAGTCCTTTTGTAAAGGATTTGTTCATTGATTTTATTCCCAAATCAATAATCCAATGTACTTAGATCTAGACTTTGCATGTTTTTGTATCCTAACAAAATATTAATTAAACTTGATGGAATCTATAGTTTTTCTATCAAATAAAAGAATCAAGGTGAGAAATATGAAATAATTTGATAATTGGATCAATATCATTTTTAACTATATTTTTATTAAATTCTTTTTTAATGAAAGTGATTGATATATATATATATATATATATATATATATATTAAATAATAGAATTTTTAGAAATTTACATTAACCAAGAACACACTTAGTTTGATTTTGTATGAGAATAAAGCCATTATTTTTGTCTCAATATTATCTAAAGTAATGCAAAATATTAGAATATATATATATATATATATATATATATATATATATTTTGGGAATAGAGTAGGGAGTTTTATTTGCTAAGCCTATAATAGATTACTTTAATAAATATTATGAATAAGAAATTTGTAGTACAATTTTATAAAAAAAAACTAATTTCTTTGATCTTAGAATTGTACACCATTCAAATTTACTTCATTTATTCCTATTTGGACGTGATTGAATGTATTCCAAAAAATGTAAGAGAGATGGAAGTGTATAAGATGTGTAATAATGAGAGATTTGGCTTAGCAAGCTTTATATCAACTCTTGGTACATATACCAAGGACATGAAGGTTTATCAAGAGCTATGCTATATGATATTGTATGCATTTCCTAAAGATAAGCTTAATAATATGCCAAACATGATATATACAATGTACACTAGATTTAAAGAGTTTAAGTTATTATTGCAATGTTGGAAAGATATAGAAGAGGAGGAAGTATAAAGATTACATTTATTGATTATTAGAATTGAAAGTAGTAATTCACAATGTAAAAACAATGATTAATGCATATGCATTATATAGTTGGCTCAAACTTTTTTGAGCTGGACTTCAAAGAATCTTAGAAGGTTCTTTTAATGCACATATTCTTTCTATCAACTATATGTTGGAAGATTTAAGGGCACACTTAAAAGAATTAGAACAAAAAATACATTTAGCAAATACTAAAGTATTTACAATTTTTGTTTGAAGTAGGTTGATATTGGCTTGTTAATCAATTTGGATGGACTTGTAAGAACATGAATAAGCAACTTTAAGAAAAATGCAATTAGAAAGTTGTTGAAATGCTCTAATTAGAAGAAAGAGTGTTGCTTTTGTATGATGGTTGAGCATATGATGATGAAGAAATCTACCTTATTATTGTTGATTTTTAAAAAAATACAAATTGGTTTTAGACAAGAAAAACCACAAATTGAGATGTTTATCCAATCATGTTCAGCAAGTGGAAAGCAGTGGCTTTTGGAAAAAGATTGGTATTTACAAAGGTTAAGTAAATGCATCTTGCTACTTCGTTGAATAATTTAGTTCCAATTAGTAAAAGCATGTAGTGACTTTGACCAAGAATACTAGAATAGAAAAAATATATATGATTTTATAATTTGATATTGGATTTTTTTTATTTTTTTCTTCATTTTGTTGTACAATTTTTTTGATAAATTTTTTGAAAATAATTTTTTGTTAGATCCTAGTTTTGATAGTTTGTTAAGTTGTACTTGAATCATACTCTCTTACTTTGCATATACAAATCAAAGTATTTTGTTTTTGTTTTTGTACAGTTCATTAAAGCTTTGTAATAGGTTGAAAATAAAGTTATAAGCATGATTTACATCTGCTCAAACATTTATGTGGCTGACCCATAAACATATAACAATCAATGATATTTGTAACTTAGATAATAGACCTGAGTTTTAAAAATCTTTTGGTACAGATATATCAAATAGAAAGATGTAAGAAGATCTAAATTTATTATCACCAATAAGTATTATTTCCAAATCTTTACCTAGAATTTTAAAAAAAAATATTGCAAATTAAGGACTTTATGGATCCTAAAACAAGATATTTGAAATCGATAATAGGATTTTTTTTGGATATATACTCAAGTTACAAGGATACAACTTCAATATATATATATATATATATATATATATATATGATAAAAAATCATCAATAATTATATTAAAGATTATTACCTATGGTTGTAAAAGCATATAGGTTTGATAGTTGATACAAATGTTATTGGCCTTTGCATTTTATAGTATGATTGTTTTGATTAATTTTCACATTGATTTTTTAATAAAATTGATAAAGAAAAAATTAAACATCCTATTAATCTCATAATACTAATAAAACCGAATTATACAAAATGTTTACAACACAAAGAGACATAATGGCGTCTTAAGAAGAGAATTGAAGATTAGACATTTCCAGTGAGGTTTCCAATCTTCGTTGTGAAGTGAAAAGAAACATTTGTACAAAGCTTGTTCCATAAGTTAGAAATGCAAACCTACTTGGACTAGATTATAATAGAATCATACTGAGTATGAAATTTCTAATTAAATTCTTATTCTGGAAATTGATCCTATTTGGAGTTCGAAAAATATTTCACAAATCGACCCAAATTTTAAATACTACTTTCCTATTTCGAAAACATTTCTTGGAAATCCATGTTCATACTTTATTTGATATAGAATAATATACAATTCTAGCCAGTGAGAGGGATATGTTAACATAAGGTAACAAATCAGGCAAACTGTTGCATCGAAACGGCAATGCACAATCAAAAGAAACAATAGACAAAACACTAGTACAGATTCATTTATCTCATTCAACTTGTGTTCAAAACAGCAAGTGGAAGTTTACAACTGGGTAGTAATACCTGTAAGAATGGCACTGTAATGTGTGGTGTTTCTGTATTATGCTTCAATCATTTGCCTCCAGAACTCTGACACCCTCACCGTATCATACAATTCTCTACAAAGAAAGTGGTAACCAAAACATTCAGAATCTCTACATGCTGTAACAAAAATGAGGGAAACTCGTCATGGGTCCGCAGAAGCAGATCGTTGCAGAGATTCCAGTGACGTGGTGAGGGAGGAGCGGATGGGTGACGACGCGGTGTCGGAGAGAAGCTCCAGCAACTCCACCACTTTGTTCATCTGGGGTCGATCGTATGAACTCAAGGAGACGCAGTGGCATGCAACTTCCAGCAACAGGTCCAGGGCCACATCTTTAACTGTGTCTCGCAGGTTGGGGTCCACGATCTCCAAGGCTCTGCCGCAGTTGTGAAGCTCCCGGACCCAGCCGGCGAGGTTGGCGTACTCATCCGACATGGACTCGTCCACCGCCCTTCGCCCACTCAGAAGCTCCAGCAACACCACGCCGTAGCTGTACACATCCACTTTGTCGGTGGCGTGTCCCGATTTGGCGAACTCCGGTGCAACGTAGCCGAATGTGCCGCCCACAGTCATAGTGACGTGTGTGTCGTTGGTGCTCACCAGCTTCGCCAGTCCGAAATCGGACAGGTAGGGCTCGAACTCGTTGTCGAGAAGTATGTTTGACGAGCTGACGTCGCCGTGGATGATGCGCGGCTCGCAGCTGTGATGAAGATATGCAAGACCGCGAGCTACCCCGAGTGCTATCCGGTAACGAATCGGCCAGTCCACTGGTAGATTCTCCTCCGTTGCGTGGTGGAGGAGCTGATCGACGTTGCCGCCTGGTAGAAAGTCGTAAACCAGGATCTTCACCGAGGGAGATGAGCAGAAACCCCGCAGTTTCACGAGATTCCTGTGCTTCACGGTTCCGAGAGTGTCCAACTCGTTTTCAAAGCTGCGCTCTGACTCCAAGCACGTCTTGAGTTTCTTGATTGCCAAGGGCGGGTAATCGTTCACTTGTAGTTTGTATACGACTCCGTAACCGCCCTCTCCGATGATGTGTTTCTTGCGAATCAGGCGCGTGGCTTGCAGCACCTCCTTGGACGAAGGGAGGGCCTTCGCGGCTCCTTGAAACATCACTATCTTCCCACCTGATCCAAGACTGATTTCTAAATCGTTGTCTTTCCTCATCCAACGCATGATGAAAATCGCTAAAATGACGAATTTTACAAATAGAAACAAACTTACACACAAGAGCACGATCTGACCCCCACTCAGGGAAGATTTGTGGGACCACACTGCTTGGGGAGGTTCGAAAGCGGGAGCAACCGCGGGTGATGGGGATGGAGCGCAAGAAGGCAGTCCTCCCAAAACTCCGCATAAGCCGGCATTCCCTGCAAAACTATTGCCCAAGACCAACATCCATACATGAGAATGCTGCTACTCTCTCCGAGTTTGCAACTTTCCACGCTTTGAATCAATGCAGTTCTTTGTACAACAAATGCGTTACAAGAACTCATTAAAAAAAATGTTTGATAGGGCTGGTCGTTTACGAGGATGCATTGAAGCGCCGTAGAGCTCCGCCTGGAATGTTTCCGATGAGATGGTTGTTGGAAATATTGCTGCAACAGGAAATGATAAAATTTTAATTTTTTTAATTTATTATCGCTTCATGGCTATACAATAATCACAGGACGTGAGATATCAGCAATGGCAGTCTTCTGCCAGTAAGTTCAGATCACGAGGATTTCTCTAAGAATCAAACAAGAGTATTTGTGAGCGAGAGCAATATTCAGGCCAGTATGAAATGAACTTACAAGTAACGCAGGCTTGTTAACGCACTAAAGCTTTCTGGAATAGAACCATGAAATTCGTTGTTCGCCAATTCCCTGGAAGAAAAGTGCAAAACAGCTTAATGAAAGGATATAAAAACACAAGCCTAAGTCTGCTTCTAAATAAATCAGATAAATGCAGTTCACTTCTGAAGTCACTTCGGCGAGAGGGAGAAGCAGATATAGGAAGTGGTTGCATACAGTATGCGGAGGTTCTTCAGTGCGCTCAGAGATTGTGGGATATTTCCGGAAATGCTGTTGTTGCGCAAGTTTCTGAATCAGAGACACACCAACACCAGTACTCGTTAAGCAGTGGAAAATATTGAATGAAGGATGACACACACATCAGTAAAGAACTGCGCTAACTGCCTGATATGAAGTAAAAATCAAGAAAGACTGCACTTGAATATGACATGCCATGTAAAAATAGATAACTGAAGCTACTTACAAAACTCGCAAGCTCGTCAGGTTGCTAAAAGAATCAGGGATTTCCCCGAAAAATCTGTTGTGATGAAGGCTCCTGCAAGAATCACCGGAAATATATTTATGAGAGGTGAATGGTTGGCATCGACAGTGATCACACAAGACCAGGAAAGCCACTGAGGGACACACAGACTCTGGGAGTGGATTACTTACAATCGTTCCAAATACTTCAAACCAGCTAGCTTAGAAGAAACATTTCCGGTGAGATTCGCGAACGGAAGGTTTCTGATTCCAACAAAAAAAAGGAATTCCTTTCAACGTTAGCAATATGCAGCCAGGAAAACGACAGAAAGAACATGAACCGTGAAATTATTGGAGACAAATTAGTAGCAAACTGGTTCAGGCTTCTGTTCTGTACATGAAAATGACGGCGATCGTCGAATTGCTGCATAGGACGCCTTTCCAGTTGCATGGAGTTGTGTCTGAATTGTTCCAGTTGCTGAGAACGCCGGCAGGGTCAATCAAGCCTTGCTTGAAGGATTGTAGTAGTAACCCTGCAGTTCCACTCACAAACAGTCACACATATGTTTACAAGTGGCAGTCTCCGCAGGATAATTACAATGTATGAGAAGAGAAAACGGCGGCGAGGAGTGGAAGAGATAATGGTCCCACATTTGACCACTGTGAAATTTCGTTTTGAAAGCAGGGGTTACAATTGGTATTATCAGCACGGACCTTCGGAGTTCACCGCCCCACAGATACTGCAATGCAATACAAGAAGCAGTAGGCTCAAATGAAGCAGTCTGTTCGGCGCAATACACTTAGGCACCATCGCCACTCTTGCCATCTCTACTCGTTAATATTGGTGGATGTGAGACGGTTTCGTCTATGGGGTTCATGGGCGAGCTTCATTGATAAACAAGCTCATGGCTGTGATCGGGCAGTAACAGATTCTTTACCAATCTCTCATGCGGAATCACTACAATGGCTCGAGTTGCCATCAATGGGTTTTGGATAATCTAGAATGACGAAAATTCACGACTTGTTCGATGGCGCTCCAAACATTCAGCCCTGATGAAAATTGTGCATCTCCTACTTTTGAATTCCAAAGGGACAACTCACTCACGGAAAGCATTCTTTCCGGGCCTTCCAAGAAACTGTTACGAAGACACTTAAAACTGATTCGCGGTGGCGTCAAAGCTCAGTCTGCAAAGTCTATACCTAGCGGGTCCCTAGAGCATTGATAAGCAAAATCCAAAACTGAATTAGAACCTCGGGTTGAAAATGCTAACGAATTGCGAAAACGATAAGTATTCGATAGAACCAGTGTGCATTCCCGCGAACTCTTTGTTCCAACAACTGAAGCCCAATCTTCTGAGAAGCGCCGCCCGTGGAAGAGCTTTGGTGAGTGACCCTCTAAATCGTGAATAACTCACGGAATGTAGCAAGGAGCGTTGGAACAGAACGGCCGAACTCCTTGCTGCACCCACGAAGACAATGCCTTCAATCTCAGCAAGGCATGATAGATCAATCGCTAGCCGCAAAGTGCAAGCGTCTCGTCAGCATGCCTTCCGTGTGGTGTCTGGATTATTGTTGAAATCATTCACAGGAATACAACGCCGGGACCATACCACCTACGATGAGACATCGAGAATGTCTCCTCAGAACTCCCTGCGAATGATTACAACATATCAAAGCTTACTTCCATTGATGGACGGTTAAAAATATCTGTCAAGACAATCAAGCAGAAGCATCCTAAACAATGCATTCCTCTCGTAAGTTCCAGATGGAAAAAAAAAAAGGTACAGTTATTTATTTCATAGCGAGGAATTTCCCTGGTTCCTATGACACGAATAAAGTCGAACCGCAGGTGACATGAAATAAACACATCACAAGAATACGAGCGACTCTTCGACGTGTCAGGAATTCTAAGCTGCAAGTTCTATCTTGAGATGCAACTCGCACAACATGACAAGCATTCCAGCAAGGACGAGAACCCGAAGGCCCAGGCGCACAGAGCCACCGGTCGGGCAAAATCCCAGACCCCGGAAAGTTCGGTACCCTCTAGTTCGGTGCCCAAGTCGCGGTGGAATCTAACAGGGAAAGGTAAAGGTGGAGGCGGAGGCGGGGGCTGTGGATATTGTTAGAACATCCATCGCTAGCTCATCATCCACGTAGATGATAGTAGTAGCGGACAATCCGAGATCGTAGAATTCAGGCTACACACTTAGCCCTGAACCTTACCTCCATTGTATTAATACCCGCGAACATCACTGTTCCTGTGTGCAAGGTTGTACCCTTCTTTCTATATGTTATGTTTTTTCTTTGTATTCTTTCAGATTTCGCCCCTATCCTTTAACTTTCCAATGCCGCATTCCCCACTAATCAGATTCTGTTTCCCATGTCACAAACTCACAATCATATCTGATTTTCACTACTGGAAATGCTCTACAATGGACCAAATTTACTACAGGTCGGGAGCACAGGTGAAGAGACCATAGTAGCACGCTGCCTGCACGGACTGCCGTGGTGATCACGCCGTACTCAGATCAGTGAGTGAGTGAAAGTGTGTGTGTGGAAGGGAGCTCCAGTGCCGCATCTAGTCCACTTTCGGGGCGCTATCGCTGCTGCAACCAGCACGTCGCACATGATTCCTAAATTTAAAAAGTGTGGTGTTGAAGAATATTGATATATTTAAAAAGTGTGGTGTTGAAGAATATTGATATATATATATATATATATATATATATATACTGTGGTGTTTCTGAATGACATGAAACTTCCAAAATAAATATAAAGTACTACAATTACAAAAAATCAATAATAAATGTAACAATTAAAATCTTATGTTTGAAATGTGAGTTGTTGTATAATGCTTAAATTTAGTTAATTGACAAGCTAGAATATGCACATATACAAATAAATTGAAAAGATAAAGTAACCCATATTAGTACATTAAACAAAATTGAATCATGTAACAATATATATTAGACTTAAATTCTCTTATAATTATAGTAGACAATTGTGACATGATAAAAGCATCAATTTATAAGAGTACAATTTAAAAGTTGACGTAAGCATACATATGTATATATATATATATATATATATATATACATACATTTTTTTTAAGTATTATTGAAAGAAGAAAGAAAAATAAAACTTTGAATTTTGGCAGAACTTGTTAATAGTTTTTTGCAATTGAAATATTTTTTAAAAAATAAAGTATTAATCTCGACTCTTAATCAAGACAATCTAGTAGAAGATTAAAGCCCAAATTAGATCAAGAAATATGAATTAAATGTAATTTAAAAGAATGGAACTTAAAAAAAATTGTTTAGAAATGCCACAACCATAACGTTTCCAAAAACAACAGATTACAATGCTAGAAAAACATCAGGATTACAAATCTTTAACCAAACAATTCAACACAAATTGCCTAATTATTGAAAATTGCATGATATAATTCAACAAGAATCCAGAAGACAAATTCAGACAACCAAGCTTTGAGAATACTGTTTCCGGTGCAATCTAATTCAAGTTCATTCTAGACCAATTTTACACAACTTTTCAATCAAACCAGGAAGAATATTAAAAGAATGACTATCTTCTCTCACCTTCTCCATCGTTACAGCAAAAAGTGACCATCAGTTGAGGTCCATGAAAAGCAAAAACATGCATCATCATGCATCTTTATCTCTAATAATACACATACACACACAGATATGATAAACTCCACAACTCTAAACTGATGGAGTTCTGACCTAAAAGTGGAACAACCGTGTGGAGCGTGTAGGATCGACCAGGAATGACCCAAACCAGTGCTATGAAACAAATCCAACAGGCATCGAAGTCTACGTCGAGACCTCATTCGAAACCATACGAAACCATCGCCACTCTCTGATCTCGCTCTCTGATCGGTAAGGATGGTGTACCAGTTCCTGGTGGAGATCGGTGCTTGAATTACTAGACACAGGAATCGACGAGTGTCGCTCCCAGAAGCATCTGCCAAAAGGGCGAAAAAGCGCCGTAGTGGCGGGTTCGGAAAAGTGCCGCAAGCCGCCTGAACAAGCGCAAATGCGGCGGAAAAGCTAGACGATGGTGCCGAGATGGGCTTGCGAGACCAAGTAGGTTGTTGGGGTGGGGGGGGGGGGGATTTAAGTGGGGTGGGTGGGATGGGTTGAATTTGGCTCCCGGTCCCTTGTTTTCCGAGGCCCAGGCCTGGTCTGCGGGGGAGATCCGGTGCCTTCGTGCCGTGAACCTGGTCTGGAATTGTGCATGAATGCTGATCTCGGTGCTGGACCCTCCCTTGGCCCCACCCCCACTTGCGGCCTTTCGAGAGTCTCGTGTGCACTTATTCCGTCGTAAGGGTTTGAAGTTCTGGCGCAGTGCTGTGTTATCATGAGTGCAAGATTTCGACACGTCTCGATCCGGGACTTTGGTTCGAGTTCGGGAGTGAGGAGTGGTGGGCACTGGTTGGATCTTATGGATTTTTTTGGTTATTGCGAGCATGCGAACTGGTGAATTGTGTGATCTAGTGATTGGCATTACCATATTCTCTGGACTGTACTGCGGCGACTTCTCTGAGATTTATGAAGCGTACCTGCGTTGTGATGAAAATGTGTTTGTGAAAGGATATACCAGTTAGGACTTGGGTGCAGGCGGTGATTGACATCAGCTGAGGGTTTGAGAATTAAGACACGGATCACGTCTGTATTTCCTCGTGTAAAGTTTCATCAGCTCGTAGTTAAAATTCGCAAGTGCACTAGTTGCATGTTTTCTATACAGACGAGAGCGCAGGGCAGAACTCCTTCTCATCATGCACAAAGGAGGGTCATGCGGAAGCCAGTCACTGCCGAGGGTGAAAAGAAAAAATTACAAAATTTGATGCATCGTCACACCACGTCGCAAGAGTAAAAAGCTCTAGGGCTATCTGAGCTGGCCGTGTTCGAGCTACTGAGGCTAAATTGGCTATCCAGGCTGATCTTGTGGCTCAGATTTCTGGAACTGCAAAAACTGTAGTCGTCTTCTCCTTGCAACCTCTGCAGCATCTTCACTATGTGGTGCATGTTGGGTCTGGTTTTCGGCATTTCATTTGTACACTGTAGAGCTATGTTGAGGGTGGTTAGGAGATCCTCGTCTAGGACTGCGCCAAGTATATTCTCGTCAAAAATGTCTTCGGGGCGGCCTTCCGCTCGGAGCGCATTGGCCTGCATTCGGAAGCAGAAATTTAGGTTCACGATTGAGAATCGAACGGATACTGTGTTCATCGGTGACATGGAGACCTTGTAATTAAATGCATGAGACTCACCCAATCGACAATGTTGAAATCGTGATCTCGAAAATCGTCGTCCTTCGGGCGCTTCCCCGTGAGAAGTTCCAGGAGCACTATTCCAAAGCTGTACACGTCTCCTTTCTCCGTAATTTTTCCTGTCTCTAAGTACTCTGCAAGTCAAGGCATCAGACATCAGATATCATGAAAAAAATATATTCCCGCCAAATCTAGAGAGTGACTGAATTTGGTTTCCAAGGACAGAGGGACACACGTGCAAAGGCCTAACCCGGAGGCAAATATCCAAGTGTCCCCGCAGCCATGGTGGTCACATGAGTCTCATGAGTGTTGATAAATTTTGCAAGTCCAAAATCTGCAACATGGGCCTCCATGTCGTCATCCAGAAGAATGTTGCTGCACTTAATGTCCCGATGGATAATATGCGGAATGCAGTCGTAATGCAAGTAACTCAGGCCTCGGGCAACTCCCAGAGCGATTCTAAGGCGCAATTCCCAGTCGATGGGTTCCCTGTTGTGGTTCGCGTAATCTGCGAAGGAAATCACAGATGAATTTCGGTCTCCTTGAAGCTCCTATGGCTACTACGCTCACCAAAGCCGGATTGCACACACCAAGTAGATAAGAATCGGTTGAGAAGTTGTTACCATGGAGAATGGTTTCCAGATTGCCATTCGGCATCAAGTCGTAAATGAGAAAATTGATTTCGGGTGTAGCGTAGTAGCCACGCAGTGTAACCAAATTACGATGCTTGACGTCTGCCAAAGTCTGCAGTTCTCGCTCAAACCCTAAATCACGATCTGTCCCGCATTTCGTCATTTTCTTCACAGCGAACGCGGACAAGTCGTCCAAGACAATTTTGTACACCGTTCCATAACCTCCACTGCCGATGATATCTTGCGGCCTGAGCTTCTGAGTCTTGCGTAGAACAGCCTTCGACAGAGGAGTCACGGCTTGTCCTGTGAGTGGGAACATTACCATTCTACCGCCTGCACAAGTGCAAAAGCCTTCGTAATGAAAATGCATACCCCAGGAGTTGAATGATCAATATACGTGATCACTATTCCACCAAACGGCAGAAGTACTAGGAAATCCAAAACTACCTGAAAGTTTAACTTCGCACTCTCGCTTCTTCCTCCGTCGACAGTACCAAATCGAGAAGAGAGTGATCTTGCTGACTAAGAATGCGGATAAACATATTGCCACGATCGCTCCGACGCTCAATTGGTTTGCAGGAGTCTCAGCTGCAACATCGGCACACAAAATTCAAGATAAATCTCTCTCGAACTCACGCGAGCTTGTCGCTGATGTACAAATCATTACGAGGTTACAGTAGTTGAGTACCTGATGCATCTGTTTTCTCCAGTAAGTAACGGAAGTTCCCACAAGTCCTTCCTGTGGGGTTTCCACACAACAACTCGTTCCCCCAATACCTGCGTAGTACAGATCCTGTGATGAGTTTGATTTTCGAATGACAATCACAAGAAGATCTGACATTGTTTATTGTCGCAAGAGCTAAAAGAATTTTGATTACAAGAAAGATATAGTGTACTAGTAAGTTCTGTTCGTCAGAAAACCAATATCGAGTAACTCATCATTCGGGTGATTACTTACGAGGAGGAACCGAAGGAAGCGAGCACTCCCCCTTGCGGCAAAGTACCTTCCAGCTCATTGTTTGAAACATTTCTACAATGTAAACGCCATCGGTGAGACCAGTAGTTATAATTAAATAAAAATAAGGAATAAAATAAGCTCTACAGACATATCTGATTCATATCCACAAGTCAGGATAGAAATGGGCGCGCTGTAACTTCAAAGCAGAGACTCTCGAGGTTTGGTTCTTACAAGAAAGAGAGAGCCCATAGACTATCCAATTCCTTGGGTAGATAGCCACGCAGCACATTGTTGGATACATCCCTAGAGGAAACACGAAGGAAGAATGAGAAAATTTGAGACTTGTAAAAATTCCTAAATTTACCGCAAGCTGAACACCTCTTCGAACTTCAACAGTGCTCAGAAATGATAATTGGGTACAATTGAGAAGCAAAGAGCTTTCCACTTCCAGGGCAAGAGCGGGACGTGACTCACAAAATACTCAAGTTCGCAGCATTTCCAAGAAGAGAGGGAATAGCGCCTCGAAAAACGTTCGATGACAAATTCAACAGTTGTAGCTGAACCAAACGTGTCGCATCTAAAGTCAAATTCCCTTCCAGCTGTTTTCCAGATAGGTTGCTGTGCCCAATTTCGGTACGTAACGTTCAGAACAAGACTATTCAAACGACTTCCAACACATTCTGCGAGCTGTACAAACGTTGCATACAACGAACTTGCTAAACCTAATTAGTTGGAGGAACCGGGACATCGTGCGCCGAGCCCTTCAAACATCAATGCAAATTTGCTACTGTAGCATTGCGCGAATTCAGCGAAAACTGCTACAAACCAGTGGCGAGACTTACACGGACACCACGTGCAAATCCTCAGAGCATCCGACTCCACTCCAGCCACAAGGTGTTGAGTGGGAGGAGTTCCAGCCCACCAAGTTGCCACCAGTGTCATTCAATCTGCTACTAAATTCTAGCAATGCATGACCTGCAAAAATACACGAATACAACGTATTAGCACTCCTGAAAGAGGTGCACCGTAAATACTAAAAACGTCTCCTTCACCCACATCAGGTTTCAAATCTGCTCATGAAGAACAATATACATTTTTCAGATAGACGTAGCGTTCCCGGAAGCCACCTTCATCATTCAACGCCGAAATGAATCTTCCTTCGAGGAGAGTCCAAACAATGCACAGCAACAGTACCCACCACGAGTGACGCCCCATCCATGCGGACGCCAAATAATGACACAACCTGAAACACTTTCTCATTGCAGCAGACTCATGATCTGAAACCTGTACTTCCTCCACATCCTTCCCCACTGCGCTAAACTCCAAACGCGGTCCCAACTCCGCAGCAGCCAGTTCCGAACCGGATCTTCAACATGATACCAACAAAACCTGTCTGATCCTCAAACCCACGTAATGAACCGAGAACAACCACACCAAGTGGTGCCGGCTTCACGTAGACCCTCTCAACACTACCCCTACAACGCATCGAAACGTAGCATCTCCCCGGGAATTGGTCCCACCGTTGAACCTGGATACTACTACCCCTACTCCTACTTCTCAATCACGGCCTGGTCAGCAACCAAACCCACCCCGCGGTGCTTCGTTACAGATGCAGCAACCACATCCGATCACCACCTTCCAGCATGAAGAAACCCCCGACATTCCGAACGAGTGCCGACTCCCGCCTCTCACCGTCACCATGGGCACCGAGAGTTCAGAACACCACCAGGAATGACTGTAGACGCGCGGACACGAATCTCGGGGAGATAAGATTCCAGAAACGAGTGCGAAGGGCAGGAAGCAGCAGCAAGAAGGGAAGGTCCACACACATAATTCTCTGTCCGTCTGTCATAACCTTGCCTTGCCACTGTTCAACTGGGCAGGCACGCAGGCAGGCAAGTTATCGATCCCTGTGCAAGTTGCAACAAACAATCAGTGTTGGCCCGCAGCCACCGCAATGAATCAATGAATGAAGGAATGAATGAACGCAAGCCTCTCGCAGCAGCAGCTCTCTCTCTCTCCCTCGGAGACAAGGCCCACATCGTAAAGTGCGTCCTTCCTTCCAGATTGCCTGCCTGGCTCTTCGCAGCGGGGTTGCTATTCTCGCATCCCCTGGTGCCGCTGCCGGTGTTTCTGGATCAACTTGGGCCTGCTGCTGCTTCTTCGCTACTGCTGCTGGTTAATGTTGTTGCAGTCTCTCTTCTTCTGCTACTACTGTTGTTGTTGTGGCATTTCTGAATTAACTTTGAGACTGTCTGTTTCTGATTATATTTAATGGTGTTTTTGTCTATGTAGTATTTCTTTGTTACCTGATGGAGCATGATCCGGATGGGTTCCGGTTTGTTACTGAAGTTGCGTCTGTGCGTGTTTTCATATTTCAGTTTCAGCGCTAGTGATGTTGTTTGGTTTTTGTTTTGATTTGGAGAGATTCGATTAGGATTTTTATGTATATATATATATATATATATATATGTGTGTGTGTGTTGTTTGTTTGTTTGTGGGGTTGTGCTTTGAAATTATTCATGCATTCGGTTTGATCATTTGTTGAGTTTTTGTCTTCAAAATGTGGATTTGTGTGGACCACTTACGAGTCGGAATGGAGAAAGTGGTGATTTTGATGTAAGGTTTGTGGAAAAAAAATATACCGTGCTCTTTGAGTGTGGAAACTTGGTGATTGATTGAAAACCACATTATAAATTATAAAATGAGCTGACTCTTGTTGAATACTTTTAGAAATAATAAATAAGTATAATTCTTTTTACTTTTTTTTGTTTTTTTACATGATCATGAGAATGGATTGAAACTTTTGAGTTATTCCTTCTACTTGGATTTTTTTTTACTTTTCTTCTTTTACATGTACTAATGTAGATGTATCTAATTTTTTAAAACAAATAAAAAATTGTTGTCAAGTGGTAGACTTGGAATTCAAAACAAAATTTGATAAAATGAGGCATTTTAGCCCAGTTAATAATACTTCACATTTCGAATTCCAATAAGGAGAAGAGTTTCATTAAAGCTAATTTTATATTATCTTTTATGAAATAAAATCTACAAAGAAGGTGATAGGAAACAACTCATGCAGAATCTTAATAGCAATGTAGGTGAGATATGATCCTACAGAACTTCTTTTTTATTAATGGCCCCCTCTTCTTCTCCACATTCTAGTAACTATGAAGAATCAATTGAAGCCACAAATTAAAGTTACTTTAAAATTAAAAATTAAAAAAAATATATTATTCATAAATTCTAACAGAAGAAGAAAAACAGGAAAGGCTAGCTCTAGACAGAATTATTACTTTAATTTAGAAAATAACAATATATACATGAACAATTAAGTGAATAGTTAATTACAGAATCATGTTGTTTTAATATATATTTTCAAAAAATCAGTTTTTTTTAAATTAATAAATCAAACATTTTAAAGTAAAACATGTTTCATTTTTATTTAATGTATATTTTTCATGAATTATCATTTAAAATGTATAGAAGTAATAGCATTAGTTTTTAATTCAAACAAAAAAAAAATGCAAACCTTTTTATGAAAGAGAAGAAGTTACTTGAGTATTTTAACAAAATCAAAATGTTTTTTACACATGGGTTTTAATTTTTTTTCTTTAAATGTTAGTAAAAATTTTTTTTAAATTTAATTTGGGATATAGTAAATTGACCCAAGTAAATCTAAAATTGATTTATGTTTGTTCTTATTGTCATGTATCATGTCCTAAATGCCCCATCCATTCACCCCATTCCAACATTTCACCTTCCAAGATCAAGCCACATAAAATGAATAAAAATCTCAATTGATCCGGTCACTCATTGCACATGCATTACACATGCATAATATAATTAAGAATGAGAAAAAGAACTCCAAAAATGCAAATTGTGGGATTGGTGAGTGAAGATGATCTTCTTCAAATCAATGTGGAATACATAACATGGTTCAAGATGGTAAGAGCAAAAGTGGATTGATTTAAGATTTATCGAAGTTGATTTAATATTCCTCTTAAGTTAATGAAAACGAGAGAAGAGCAATAAATTACAACCATAAAAAAATGTCATAAATCAAAAGTAATATACAAGTAGAGTTTTATTTGTAACATGTTGGTTTACTACATTTGGTTATTACTATTCAAATTTGTGCCTAAAATGTAATGAAATTAATTTTTTAGAGTCATATATATATTAAAATTTTAGCCTAGAATATTTTGTATGGTAATCTTTTTGGTTGATTAGGATTATGTATAAGTAGATTAATTGTTAAAAATTTTATTTTATTTTATCCAAGTAAGTTTTTAGTACATCAAATGACTTTTGAGTTTTTCATTTTTTTAAAAATGATTCAAGTCAAATATTAGAATGATATTCAATTTCTATTTCTTTTAAAACCTTCAGTTCATACAAATAATTAAAATATAAAATTTGTAAATGTCTAACAATAAAAAGAACTCTATTCAAAATCAAAATCCTAAACACCTAAATCCAATAAGTATGTTTTTTTATTATTTATTTTTAAAATAATGCAGAATTTTATTGAATGAGTTAGAAATTAATTTGGCAGTTATAAAAATTCGAAAAAAGGGCAATATTAGTGTATATTAAAATAATAATAACAGTAATTTAAGTGAATAAAATGACATTATTTTTTTTTAATGTTTTTAGGTGGAATTTGTCAATACTCAAATTATTATTTTACATAACATATATTCTTGTAAAAAAGACTTGAAACACTTGCAAATTGAATTTTGCTGGTTATTAGGGTTTTGATTTGCAAGCTTTTGGTAATTGTTCCTTCTGCCCTTTTTTCTTTCTTTCTTTCTTTCTTTTTTTTTTTTTTTTTGAATATTAATAAACCAAAAAATAAGACCTTCAACATAATACCAATATTTGTACACACACACACACATATATATATATATATATATATATATACACACACATTAAACCATCAGTTGAGTTTAATTCTTCATTTACATTTTATTAGGGGGTGGAGGGAGATTGTGTGAAACCCTAAATAGGTTAGTTATAACACTGGTTAACAATGCCACCAATTAAATTGAAAGTAAGTTCTAACCCACAATCCAGAACATTGTATCATCATAGTCTGTTTGAAAAAACAAAGCGTAAAACAGAGTGAAAACTTGTTTGAAGAAGAGGAAGAAGGAGAAGCAGAAAACCAAGGTGTGTTGTAGGTGGTGCAGATGAACAACAATTAATTAGGGTTAATAAGGGTTAATTAGGGGTTAAATGAATGAAGATCAAGGGCACTGCCACACAACACGAGGTTGTGAGGAGGGGGCTCTTCCCGTCTCCGAACATCATCACTTGTATTGGAATTTGCAACGTGTAGATACAGCTCTTGACCCAGCCATTGTCGTTGCAAATCCTGCGACCTGATGTTCCATAGCCCAGGATTGTCCAGCTCCAGCATCACTGCCGTCCATGAGTTTTCGTAGACCTGGTGAACACGAAAACAACAACACTGAATAGAGAACATATATATAGATATATATTACTCATTGTTGAGCTACAATGCCAACATATTCTGAAGTTGTTTCTGCAGAGATTTGTTTTTTTGTTTTTTTGTTTTTTTTTTCATACCTGAGTGGTGGACCGGGCTACAGCGTCCAGGAGGTTGTAGCTTTGACGTGCATCCGGATTCCATTCTCCCCACCCCATTCTGCATTATCAGAGGGTTGGACAATTCGCTCAGGCTGGAATTTTTGCGTGTTTTGATGTAGGGTTTGTTAGTAGGGCTAGGGTTTGTGCTTGGTTAGCAGGAGGTTTGGTGAACTCAACTCTGTGTGATTATATCAAATTTCTGCGTGAAAATTGCATACGAGGATCCCTTTGTGAATGTAAAAGAAATGGGGGGTGAATTTTGGTTGTGATAAAGTAATTGGGCAGCTTGGTGCAAAACTCGTTAGCATCCCGGTAAGTATTGTTCGTGTCAACATACCCCACGACGAAGAATGCGTAGCCGTCGATGTGCCAGGACTGCAGCGTGTTCTCTGGATTCTGAAATACAATCTCAACGAACGCCCGAAAATCACCAGAAATCACTGAGCTTGCAAAGGAGGGCGTGGCATGGTCGATTGGGTGGTCGGGTATGGAGCCAATTTGGAAGACCCCTTCCAGCTTCAGATAATCAGCCAGTTTGATAGGCGTCCTGGATCGGACAAAGGATACCCCGTTCACCATGTAACGTTGCTTCTCTTTCAATTTCAGGGCAGAATTTGCGAAAACGTAAGACTTGGCGATCTTAAGACGGCCATAATGATATGATCCTTGCGGATTAAGCCTCGCTGCACCTGCCGTCAAGTTCAACCTGCAAAGCTAGCACGAAACCGATCACGTTTGATTTGTTTACCACAGCAACGTTACAGCAAAGGGGTTAAGGGTCTTGCAAAAAGCTCACCGTATGCTCCGAGCCTGCTCCAATGAGGACTGAACATCGTTTGGAGCCCTGGGAAGATCTCCAGAAACAGGTCCCCTGTTTGAGGTTGTATTATAATGAAGAATTGCTGAGCCATTAAGCTCGGGCCAAACAAACCTTGTGCTTGCAATAATTTGAAAGTCTGCCGGGATACTCTGGTCCATCGTCACTAAGACAGAATAGGACTGTCCCACATGAACGTCTAGTGTGGAGTAGTAAGTTTGCGTCACATACGATCCCTCCGTCTCCACCAGCAGTAGGCGATGCCCTTGGATCCTAAAATTGAGTGTATGTGTTAACCCCACATTGGAGATTCGTAGCCGATATGTTTTCCCTGCCGACACAATTGATTAGTGCCCTGAATACTTCGCTTTTACAGGGTCCATTGTGCATCCATCACAGTGAAAACATGAAACACACCTGGATTCACAGAGAAGGACGCCTGATGAGGGCCTAGACCATTGATAAGTATTCCATCAGGGGAGCCCAGCAGATGTCCATTGTCTAAGATGTTCCTGAGGGTCTGTTTGCATAAAGAATACAAAACTGTTATGGCTGCCTCTTGGAAACATCATCGAAATCATGTTTGAGTTACGCACGAGGAGTTCAGTATGAAAATCGAGAGAAGTAAAATTTGAAGGTTGCAGTGGCCATGACATTTTCTACGCTGGTACAGTGGTTCCTGGAGCAGCACTTGAGGTCTGTGATAGCAATGATGTATTCAAGAGCATCAAACAGGTGAAGAAATTGCTTAGACGTCGAACCTGGTGGTCAGTTTTATACCAATCTCCGATGAGTACCGCATAATCATCCGCAGGAGGTACAAATGGAGAGGAGATGATACGGCGAGGATTTACTCGTATACTACCAAATCCACCAGCTGCTTTTTGAAACTTCAAGGAGGGGTAATAGTAGTAGCTTCCAATCTGGTCTTTGGCTTTGAAGGTGTAGGTCCAGCTGCTACCCGGTTGAATCGGGCAATTAGTTTCTGCAACTCCATCTTGCCATGAATTCTTGCGTAACTGAATTCCGTCCCTGCATACAATTAAACAACGATAATCTCAAGAAGACCTCTCAAGCAGCTGGAGGATATTACAAAATTTCTCAAATCTGATGGATGAGTGCATAGAGGACGGCAAAAGAGCAAATGGGCATGGTTAGATGTGGGGTTGAGGAGATTACCAAGTGATGAGGAGGGGTTCGTCGAGTTCATTGTGCACGTTGATTATGAGATTGTAGTTTGTTGTTGTCTCAAGTTGAGGTCCTGGAAATTGATTGTTAATTGCTATTACCTGCCATTGCAAACCGTACATCAGCTCCTTTCGTAATAGCAGTAAGTTCCAATAATCTACTGTAGATGGTTCCATTTCACGAGCAGAAATGTGAGTGTGACATGCTACTTTCATTTATTTCGCATAATATCGATTGAGCTAACTTTCAGGTGGCTGACAGTTAACAGACACAGATTTTTACAATGAACAATTGTGTAATACCTGTCATTGAAATGAGAAAATTTCTGCTTTCAAATAGTATGTTATTGAACGATATATCAACAGGACTTGACAAACACCAACTGCTCGCTTCAATGGTGGCCATTGAAGGTTCAGTGGCTGCCGAAAAATAAAAGAGCAATCAACATTATACCGCGATAGATCCCCACGTCAACGATACCTCATTGAATTGTTATGGTTATGCTACCAACAGAATATCAGTAATCCCTGAAGCAGACGCGCTAAGATGAACTGAACTTACTTTCTGCGAGACTCCCAACGGTGAAGCACTGATGTAAGAGACTGTCCAATCCTCATACTGGTAAGGATCCTCCGCACAAACTAGGATCCCGCTTAAAACAGAGGTCAGAATGAATGCAAGTGTTCCACCCATCCTACACCACATCCAATCTACCACATTTTCGGTTTTATTCCGCTCCCGGTTGTGCAACCCTGTTGAAAAACTCGCATGGTTGAATATTCACTCTTCTTCGACATTAAACTCACAGTAAAGGGTGCAAAAACTAAGTATCGTGTCTTCAGCGGAGGCAATAACACATCCTTTTCCACGAGCTCGATGAGCGTGGAGTTGTTACTCTCGCAGTGTCCAGTGCAAGTCGACCGACAGACAAGAAGTGGAAGAAGGGAAATTGGCGGGAACTCAACGACCCAGCCGTTTCTTGCCGAGTTGGTCTGCCACGTCAGAACGTCCACGTCAGCTAAAAATTCTGCCACGTCTGCATCTTGGCTCACATTGGCGCCATTGGCGCGCGTGTGGCTGGGCTCGAATGCCATGTGGCGTTGAAAGACGATTGGTTACGAATCGGTAAAAATAATGAAAGAAGTATTGCGTATATTTGTATATGATTTATGTTATCTAATATAGTAATTTTTATTTTTGTACATTGATTTTGTTGTTATTACATTAATTTCTTTTTGTATTGTTAATAATATTTTCATCATTATTAAAACTCACAAAATACAAAATTTTGACTTATTCTCTGCATTTTTTTTAATTTATATATACTCTTGTTGATTTTCTAAATATTATTTGTACTAAAATATGTTTTATATTGTTAAATGTGTTGGTGTAAACTTGGTAAAACTTTAGGAGACTATTACATTTTTTGGGATTAACATTAATTTTTTTTTCTTAATGTACAAACACTATTCAAAAATTGCACCAAGGTGGAATTTTAATTAATTAAAAATAATACACAATGTATATAAGATTATTTTCATGAAATTTAATCTCCCAAAGTATCCAATAATTATAATTATATTTTTATGAAAAGTACCAAATTTAAATTGTTGCATATGAATCCAAGTTGTATATATATATAGAGAGAGATCTTGTAAATCCATCATGATTTATCTTATTTTTTCCACAAATAAAATAAAAGAAAAATATAATTAGGATATTAAAATAATATTTTAAAAAATTATTATTACTAAAAACTTACATAAAGCTAATTTATATTTTTTTTAAAAAAAACTATATAAAAAAATGTTATATTTAAACTACTAGAATAAATGTGTGACAAAAATCTATATTTTTTAATTAACAGAAATAAGTACAAGTAAAAAACTACTATATATATATATATATATATATATATATATATTAGATGGATTGTATTTTCCTTAAGAAATAACAAGAAATTTTTCTATACTTAGATATAATCTAGAAATAACTTTAAATGTGGCATGTGACCATTGTCACTCTTTCTAGAGGTTTCGTACATCTAGAATGTGACTTATAACTTAAAGACTTTGCATGCAAGCCATCTAGTCTCTAGATAGCTTCCATATGGCCTTATGTTTAGCCAGTGTGTGTAGAGGCAATAGTAAAGTCATTATGATTCTTTTTAATGCATTTATACGTACTCTAGTCTTGGTTTAAGGTTCTCAATATATATATATATATATATATATATATATATAATGGTTACCTTACTATGTTATGAATATACTTTCCTTTGATCTTTGTTTTTCTTTGTTAGTTGTACACAAATATATTGTATTTAAACAAGTATATATAGATTTATGTAAATGACAAGCTTTTTCTATATACATAACAATAACAATTTTGAACCAACTCTAGAGTACAAAACTTATATTGACAAGATAAACAGAAGATCTTGGTTTTACTCTTATGTATATTATGTAACAAAATAGCTGCATAGAATCTTTACAAGAACCATAAGATTTGTAAAAAATGTATCTAAAATATATGATAGTTTAAAAATAAATTCTTAGATTCAAAAAAATTATAGATTAAGATTTTATAATAATACGAACATCTAAAGATATTTGTAGATCCAAGCTACTTGTACAAAGCTTCCACTATGTTTTACAAAAACCATGCTATTAATTTGATATATTTGTACTTGCTTATATGTACGTAAATAATGTAGAATTATTTTTAATATTTATTGAATCACATTATAGTATGTATCTTTACTATAATTAATTTATCAAATTTAAAGAATATCAATAATATCATCTTATAAATAATAATACCTATTATAGTCTATAGATTGTAAATTACACTATTAATAAAAATACACAAATGAATCATCAAAAATTTTAAATTACATTTTTCCTTATTAATTTATCTATTAATTTACAGAAATTATAAATTAATTTAATTTTAAAAATATTTTTAAAAAGTTTAAAAAATAATTACAATTTTATTTTTATGCAGGTTTTTTATTAGATAATTTTTGAAGTAACTAGAAGAATTACTCATAATCGTATCAACATACCAAAATGTTTCATTTTATGCAGAGTAATCTTAGATTTGGCTTTACATTATTCCTATTTTTAAAACATCATATGTTGGTATCTTATCTTTTTCTTAAAGTATATTTATAAAAATAATTATGAACAATGTTTTTGATAAGATCTTTCTTGATTAAAATATTTGGCCTACGTCTTAGTAAACAACTTAGTTCCTTAATCATTGCCCAAGTCATTGTTACTTGGCTTCATCTCATATTATAATTATTCAAGTTTTTTGGAGATTAAATGCTGTGCTTTATGTACTAGTATCTCTCAAGACCTTAATTATGTGATACCCCTGAATTAGTAAACGATGAAAAGCTAGTTTTAAAATTTCCTTAAGTCCCTAATACTAAGTATTAATTATTTCAAAACAATCTTTTTTTAAAAAAAAAATCCAATCTATATTGTAAATTTAATATTACTATTATTCATAAGCATGAATTGCAACTAGATGAAACATTCTTCATTTGTATAATATGTTTTGCTTTTATTCTCTAATAATAGTTGATATCAAACACAACTACAAATCTACCCAAAATTGTATCATTTTAGTGTTATAGTGTATATTTTAATTAAGAATACTGTAAGTATATATTTCATGTTTTTTATTTTAATATTTTTAGTATTTCTAAAATAAGAAACAAAATTTCATCTATTTATTTATTTAATTTAAATGCCAAGAATGGGTTAAGAAATCTGATATTTCGTTTCATTTTTAAATGACACATCCTTCAAATATATATATATATATATATATATATATATATATATATATTATTTTAGAAGGAGTTAATTTTAAAATATCCAAATAGTAAAACGATGCTAATAATATTTCTTATGAGTTAATGACTGTATAAATCAAAATGACAAGAAATGATGCAAGACAAAGATATCAGCATAAATGAAAAAAAAAGATTGATGAAATTGAAAGAGATAAAGTTTTCCATGCATCTATCTTCTTAAATGTATATAAAATGAGTTATAAATAAGTAGATAAAAATCCTAGTTCTTATAAACCCATCATTTAATCAATTAATAGAAGTTTTTAAAATCTTTTAAAATAATCTTTTAAATTTCTGGACAATATAATCAATATTCATAATTTGATTAAGAACAAATTAATATGTAAATTGCTACAGAATTATTTATAAGCTTCAGAAGTATCACATTCCCAATTTCAAATATCAATAATATATATATATATATATATATATATATCGTGTTTTTGGTTTTCTATTGAGCAGGATTGACCGCAACATATAATTTGTATTTCTTAATTTAATTACTCAATTGATATTGTCTGTGTTTTTAATGAGAATTGTTACAGTACAATTAAGACTTTCTGACACGTATTCATTAAAAATCCTTTAAAATAAATAATTTGCCGTTGGAGACATACATAAATAGTAAACACAATCATATGTGTGTAATAAAAAATCATAAATTATAAATTACAAAAAGTGTAGAAAACAGTTTGTTCAATTCTATAACTGCTTAAAATCTACTGACTATTACAGTCTCATGATACTTCTACAGAAAACAAATGAAAATCAACATAAACAGGATACAATAGTTCATAAATAACCTTTTTGATTAAAGAACTAAAACTAAACTAAAATAAAATCACAAAATCAATAACAACTTCCGAATATAACTTCACACACAAGCTAAAAAAACACTAATTGCTCGTTTCTCTCCTCAAAATCCACCCACAATGAAAGCTGGCAATGTACTCAGAACCGCATCAGAAAGAGGAGCTTTTTTTTTTTTTTTTTGGTAAAGCCAGTCTGTATGATTCACTCAGCAATGAAGAGTTCGCACACAAAACACAGCCATACATCTGTTCCACAGTGCTCATAAAATCAGCGACTCCACCGGAATTCCTATCTGGTCCACGAAAATGGAACCATTATTTTTCTGTGATATGTTACATGGTTTCAAAAGCTGGACTTTCTTCAGCACAAGTATATACTTCGTCTCTTTACAAGGGCATGGTGAGCATTTCCTCAATGGTTGAGCTATCTGACATAAATCCTCGAGCAGATCACAGCGCAAGCACACGAGCTTCCCGATCGGCAAACAGCTGCAAATTACAAACCTCACTGATTTGCAAACGATCTGTCAAGCGTGGAGGATAATAGATCAAAAATGTGCCAGGTAGCATCGCCTTGCACAAGTGGGTCGGTGAAGAGCAACGCTCGTCGATTCTCCCCCCTCCAGAGATTCCTCTGAATTGCGGTCAAGTTTGTGACCGCCACACCGATGAGAATCTTGTCGAGTTTCGGCACATCGTGCTCAGGGACAGTCAAGGAGATGCTGCTCCAGTCGATGGTGTGTGAGTAAGGGAGGCTGATGTTGTCAGCGATGATGACCGGGATGCAGCCGTAGGTGACCGCTTCGACAATCCGGGGGCTCCAGGGCGCCCACCCCAGGGGGCACAGGCAAAACGTGGATCGCAGCATCTCTTGCTGGGAGTTGTCCACCCGGTGCCGCTTCAACACAAAGCGCTTGTTGCGGGAAAATCTTTTGTATAACACTGTCCTTATGCCCCTGCCTCAAAACGATCGATGCGCAACCAGTTAGCACAAAACCAGATTGCTCGGTGGAGTGAGTGGGATTGTAAGTTAGCACAAGTTTGTGCCTGAACTTGGTCAGAGCCAAGTGCCGAGACCGTTGCCGGTGATGATTAGCACATGTCAATAAGAACCATTCTCCCAACCACGTGTATGTGTTTTTATATTTAGGATAAGAATTGGTAAACCAGTGATGAAATGTCGTTAGTGATGAAATCGTATGCTTCTAATGACTCAGGAACGACCGATGCAAGAGTGAGGTAGGCACCCACTTGCTGTAAAGCAGGCCACTGACGTTCTTGGGGTTTATCTCCATCTTTCCTCGGAAGTATGCGAATATATCCCGTTGTTGATGCTCTAGGGGATCCTTGACATAAGATACAGCGACAGAGGGCGAGATGTATGGGGGGATTTGTATGTGCTCTGCTGCTTGACAAGGATGGAAGCCTTTCACTCCAAACGTCTGAAGAATCAAAGAGTTTCGCATGAATTGTGGTATTCCTTGCGCAATTGCCTGGGTCTCCTGCATCCACAATGTTGAGGAACCATGCTTTGTTAAGATGGGAAAACATTGGCTGTCAGACATGCTCGTCGTGAGCGAGCACGATGCCAAACAATCCGTTAAAATAGGGATAAACGAAGAAAAAAAATTGGAATAAAAATAACATTTGGGTCCTGCTTTAGCGAATCAGTAATGAGAAACTGGCTTTGGATTCTCACAAGGGTGTGAAAACAGGCACCGTAGTCATGTGCAGCGACGAAAATGTGATCCCTCCCCCAACTACGATTCCAAAACTCCATCTTCGTAGAGACATGATTCACGGCTGCTTGCATGAGCTTGGGCGCGTGTCCGAGCCAAGGAAAGCCGGTCTTCGGGCTGAATTTGCACGAGACATACACAGGCATGAAGAAGAAATCAGCTTCGTAGGGATCCAATGTTCTGATGGGACTCGTCAGAAGAATCTTGTGAATGGCAACTTCGGAGGCAAACAAATGGTTGGAACAGCGTTCGTCGACCAGCCAGTCTTCGTTAAATTTCGGAGGCAGGTCATAGACGTAGATTCGAATTGCGTTCGTGAGGTTCAACGGGTTGAAGGGAGTGGTATCAAAACCTGAAAGATGCATGCTCTACAGTCAGTTCGTTTGAATTAGCCGAATGAGATTTCGTCAATTCGTTTGAACGTCAAAAAGCCACTACGCAAACTTCGATGGGTCTTCAGAAACAAATATGGTACAATTAAATAATCCACGGAGCGGTAAAGCAACTGACGACTTCAAAATTTTGCTCTCGCAACCTAAGAAACAAAGCACTCTGTTCAAGGGTTGCATCATTTGTTCGCATTTTACAGAAACAAAATGAATTGAGGTCAGGCAAGTATTAGATGGATGTCCGAGAATTGAACATAGAAACGAGAATTTCGAAAAGATAACGATACCTGCAAACCCAAAGGTCGAATCTATCACCAATTTCTGACTTACAACGTATTAAGCTATAACTCCAGCTGGAGAAAACTTTGACAGACTTGCGATTCGATGTATACACACACACGCACACACACTCAAACACACACACGAACATGCACTGATCCAAGCCATAGGCAGGTTAGGAAAACGTACTTGAAACTTTAAATAAAGTGAAGTGGTCAGGCTTAAGCTGCCACTCTTTATCGCTCTTCCTAACCTCCTTTTCTTCATGCAGCGCATTGTTTGTTTCCCCGAGTGGCATAGCACGTAAGCTCGTTCTCAGCAAAGCCTGGTAACCAGATTTTGGATTTTCCAGGGGCATGTCCACGGCAAAAGGAAGGGCCAAGAGGCAGAGAACGAAGACGGAAAAGAAGGTACAAATTGCCAGCGACAACGAGCGAGGCTTCTCCCAGTAAGAATACAAAGTGCTGGGTGCTTCATGTCTGTGGTGTTTCGAGAAGGAAGTGAAGGAGCTGCAACTTGGAAGTCCTCTGTGCCCGTTGCTCCTCCAAACTCCCGAAACGCGATGCATCGCAAATTCGGCTTCACTCTTGCTTTTGAAGCAACGACAACGAAAAATTGTAACAAAAGCAGAAAACAGCCACCCCGCTCACCAACTACACCCCTTAGTTGCGTTGCTGTCGTGAAGAAATTCGGTTAATTACAGAAAGCGGAGCGCGCACTCATATTGGGAATTGATCAATGGTGAAGCGAGATTCCCAAGGCGGCAGAAATTCCCAGTTAATTGAATTTGAGGTGACCTCAACAACCTGAGCGGAGCGTAGGGTCATTTGTTGGGCCGCAGGAGGTACGTTAGATGATCATCGTCAATCTAATTTGTCAAGGAAAACTCGAGGACAACATCTCTCATTAGCTAGAAGTAGGGACAGTAGGGTAACTCCGAAACGCTCTTGCTTCTTCCATCCCCGTACGCTCAACAACCATTCTCAAAAAAGAAAAAATAAGAAATAAGAAAAAGAAATTGCCCCTGCTGCTCCTTAGACTCTCAAAGGCGTTCCGGTGCTCTCAATGGCCTCTCAACATTCCCGGATTCTCAATTGCATTGCATCGGCGAAGAGAGAACAAACTCCTCACTGGTATCCTACCTAACCCTGAGCTTTGACACAACGAAGCCTCGTAGTTAGCTTCCCACTAAAACAAGTAGCTCGTAGCACCCTGATATGCGTCGTGTGACAAAGGTTTCAACACCCCGTGAAATGGCAACCGGCTCCGTATGCGAACCTGCTTTGTACGTTGATGAATCTGTCCCTTGTGTGGACGTGAAGGACAAGTTCAACCAGACCATCTTCGATCGTAAATCTTTACCAGGACGTGGTTTACCTACTCATGAAGTTGGACCACATACAGCTTCGCCACCAACTGGCGCTTAAGTCAATCAACTCGCAAAACCAGCTCCATAGCTGATAATCAACTGAATAAAATAAAAGGTGCACCCAACCATTCAAAGGTCTATGCTAAAAGGATAAAGTAGTGAGCACCGGGTACTCACTTTCACGAACGAATTAACCAACGTGACGAGGTGAAAAACTTGGGTCGTAACCCAAGTCTAGCGTCATCGCACAACACGTGACGATTCCTGTAGTTACCTCACAGTCTCTCTTTAACAAAGACGAATCTCACAAGTCACTCACCCAGAGGTTTAACGTAAGATGCAATTCTAACAGACCTGAGCCATGAACTGGCTTCCGCTGTGCCAAACCTCCGGACCCACCAACTCAAAAAAAAAGCCAAGACTGAAGAGTCCACAACCGAGGAATCGGATGGAAAGCTCAAGGAATGGCGACGCCACGGGGCGATTCGCTGCCGCTTCCGCGGATTCAGCAGATACCCGCAAAATGCCTCGCAGACCACAGCAACAGCAGCAGCAGCTTCAGCACCACTGTAGAACAACAACAACACAAACCCACCGGGGATACTCCCCTCGAGAGACCCATTGTACAGCCAGCCCTGTGACCAAACCCATCGGTATGAAAAAAAAAACAAAAAATAAGGAGCTTTGCCACTAAACTAGCGCACCACCACCACCATCGTCGCTGCCAACAATTGACTCCCAAACATCCTTTTTCCAGGCCACGGAAACATCACCACTCTCTCTCCCTCCCTCAAGGTTCCGTTTCCGAATTTTATTCGCGACAGCACAGTCCACACTGATCCATCCCTGTCTTGTCGTTTCATTAACATCCAATGGACACCTGGGACACACACCAGTCTAGCTTGGCTGCACTGGCCCCGCCAAAGCCAAACCTGCAGCTCCAGCTCCGGGGACTTTGTTCTTCTGCTGCTTTTGTTTCTTCTTCTTCACATAAAGACGGTCAGCATGTGCACCATGGTTTTGCCTTCCTTATTGTATCCATCCCATTGCAGACAGACTCATGGGCTTGCTAGACAGACTCATCACAAGCTTGAGTTTAGGGTCAGATTGCCTCACCATGTTGATCAGTCCTGTTGCTCTTTCTTCTTCGTCTCCTTCATCTTCTTCTCTCTGTCTGTATGTCTGAATGTTAGTTGCAGATTTGTTGTATCAATTATTCAATTGTGCACCTGACAATTCCATGACAATTAAGTCTCCCTCAATCACTCACTCTCACATCCGCCCTTCCCTTCCCTTGATTGATTGACTTGGGCCCAGAGTCGCCAAGTGCGTGCACGTTCCCAGTATTCTCCAGCTCTTGCTGAGCTGGCGTTCGTGACCCCCCTGGGTGTGTCCAGGTGGCTGGGTTCGTGGCACTCTGCCAGGGTGGCGAGCCCGGTCAGCTTTTATTCCCAGGTCCAGCTCCACAAAGCTTGTGGGGTGGGGTTGCTGTGTTAGTCGATTTTCTGGCTCTGACTTCTTAGTAAGCAGTATGGGTACTGCTGCTACTTCTTCTACTACTGCTACTTCTACTACTACTACTACTTTTGTTTTAGGGTTTGGAAGCATCACAATTAAATTGGATGCATAAATAGGGTTTCTAAATTCAATTAGTGTTTTATTTACAAAAGAATAATTTTGATGAAATCTAAAAAAATCGTTTAGTAATTACATACACGATGATGGGTCAGTCAAACAAGTTGACAAATTTTTAAAACTCTACACGAATCCTTAATACCTCAAAATAAAACATATTATTTCCATAAAAAATTGGGACAAAAAAGAATATGCTCACAGGTTTAATTTTATTTAGTTTTTAATAAATTAATACACGAACAGTTCAAAACAATATCCTATTTTTCCTCATTTAGTTTCTTGAATTGAATAAATATCAAATTCTTTACATCATGATCTTTCACCTTAAATATTTCACATAAATGTATATATATGTACGTATACACACACACATACATACATGGATATAATTCCCGATTTGATTACACATCAATGCAATGCAATGCAACAAAAGCTCAAATTTAAGTCAAGTCAACCCTTATTTGTAGCAAAATGAAAAAAAGAAAAATTGAAATTTGACTTAACTCCATTTGACTTAACTTCAAAGAACAACATATCAAGGCTTATATATATATATATATATATATTTGTTCATAGCCTCGGCCATTGAGACTATTTTTCCAAATACAAATGCAAGTCAAGGTATACAATAAGTCAGCACAAGGGCACAAACCCCTCCATGGATGGATGAATGGATGAAGAGAACCACATGGATGAATGGATGAAGAGAACCTTATGGATGAATGTTGTGAAAATTGAGCATGACCTGGGTGGGGGTCTTGTTTGAAGCCAGAAAGTCAGCGATCAAGGCCAGTCCCATAAAAGTAAAAGGCAAAAGTAAAGGGAGGGGGCTCATGCATGGATGGCTATTTATCACACGGGAAAAAAGTGAACCCCATGCAGTTGGACAGAGTACATACGTTGCGTAATCCATTTGATGTGTATATATATATATACCTCACCTTTTTCATGTTTCATTCATCCACTTTTGGATGGATGAAACAGAAAAAAGCCCCAAAAGAGCGACTTTTTTGTATAGATTGTGTTGCCAAGTTCTTCTTGACCATGGGATACGAAAACCCATGAGGTGGGTTTTTGTAGGTTTTTGTTTTTAGCAAATTAGGGTTGTGTGCTGTGCTTGAAGGGCAAGATTGTTGCGGAGCTGCTCGACTAGAAGTATATATATATATATATATATATATAAATCTATATATATGTATTGTGCAGCGCTATTGCGGTTGAAATTCTGTAATTCCTTTGAAAATGGCAATAGACTGTATGTTTCTGTGCTTTCGATTACCTTCTTCGGCACCATGACAGGTTTAGGGTTGGGCGTTGTTCGAGGTGAACTTGTTTGAATTAGGGTTCCTTGAAGATATTCTGTGGGAGAGCTGATGAATCCATCCAGAGGCTACTGTTACATTCCTTTCTGTGTTTACAACGTCCAAGACGTAATGTAGAAGGATTCGAGATTGAGGCTTGTTGCTCATGTGGACATGGTTTCAGCATCAGTAGCTCCTTGAAATATGTGCATATATCAAATGTGGTGTAGAGTTATAGCATCCTCTACCTCTGAGGTCCTGTACAACTTAAGGGAGTGTGCATTTAGTGTTGCTTCTCTGCTAAGTTCACCAAAATAGCACTCAGATTTCGCTATTGTTTACCCGCATGAAAGTTCCGATTTCACAGGTTAGGGGTCTGAAAGCGAAGAAGTTTTTCAAACCGTCTTAGCCCACAAAACGAATTGTTGTGATTGTTTGAGATCGTGTATTCATATGGCAGCCTTGCAAGCTGTCACAGATCTCTCTGTCACGATTCGTTTTGTGAGCTAAGAAGGTTTGAAGAAGAGTATTCTCCATGTTGTGGTTCGCCACACTCTCGGTCTAATTTAGATTGTTTTACGACATATTCAACTTGAATATTACATCTACAATGGAGTATTTGGCATTTGCGATGCTTCAAGAATGAGGTTAGTTACTTCGTGCAGGCATGAATTCCTGAAGACATCTATCAACTTCATAACAGAAGAGCCATTGATCGCTGGAGTCAATTTGACGAACAGTTGCGTTGAATCAAGAATACTAAGAAGCCTAAGCACGTTAGTATTTCTCAGGCTGGTAGAGCTTTAAGAAACCTTTGAACAATATGATGAAACGGGTAGAGTAGGTAATTATAGTCATAGTCTGGCATGTGAAGTTGCACGTAAAAATTGTGAATTGAACAGAGATGCTTTTTGTTGATGACAGGTCATCCAATGTACGTGTTGTAGATGCAGAATCGAAATCACTTTCCAATTCAGATCTCAAAGAAAATGATGTTGAGCGTCATGACAGTTCCAACATCATGCTACAATGGACGTCTGACTGTCACAATAAATGTCTAGACTGCTTCAACTGCTGGTTGTGGATATTGTAAAACAAAATTGGGATCTTTGCTTCAATCTGGGGTTGGAGGGGATATGCTTCAATGCAAGAGGTTGTGAGTTTCAATGGCGTACTTAGATTACTGTTTAAAGCTAGGAAGGAGGATGGATACCCATTAGAGGTTAGACCAAAGATCCCTCACATTTTCTTACTTGGTGTGTTCTTATTTCATTTTTGTAAAAAATTCAGTGATACCTGCCATTGTGAGCAGTTTCTTAATTTCGGAAGAAGGGAGGATCCTTGGATTATATTTATCTGACTTCGCCAGACTTTTTTCGGATTCATGCTTCCAGGGAGTGCTCAATTCCTGAGGTTAGTCAGATTAAAGTGTAAGAACAACAAATTGCACAATTTATATATATTCGTTGTGGATCGGATTAATGGCAGTGCTCTTTTCAAAAAAGAATAGGGTGACAGCAAAGGGAGACATGAGTTGGATAAGAGGGGCGATGATAATGACGATTTTAGTGAAAATTCAACAGGGAAACTGGCCCCAAGGCAAACTTCCATGGTCGTATCCAAAATGGAGGTGTTCTCAAGTCACATGACTTCGTTTCCCTCATCCGAAGTTTCGTGCATACTTTTCAAAAATTACATGTTTGGAGTCCGTCATCTTTGTAGAGCACGAGAGTTTACTTGAAGAGCTCCGCATGGACAACTGGCTAGCTCATTCATACGTCGACGATCACAAATCCTCGACTTCAGAACCAGATTTAGATGACGTCTTTGGAGATACTGCACGTACCCAAATTGGAGCCTCGAGGATTAGCCGAAGAAGATATCGTAGGTACTGATTCACCGAAGCAAGAAAGTAAAGTCGATGAAACACTTCGAGCAGCTGACAGTTCTAATGACTAAGATCGTCCAACACCACAGCGTAGACATTCTGGCAGAGGAAGTTGTCTAAACTCAGAGAGAGTGAGAGTGTGAGAGAGAGAGAGAGATAGCAACTGACAGATTTCAACGCCACCATGAAGCACCATACATCTGTGAACATGCTTATCAGAAGTAGAAACATGACAAGGCTGAGTTAACAAATCCATTCGTTAGATAAAGAGCTGCGAGCATTCAAAATTCGATGTTGCAGTGTCTCATAGCCTCCACCTCGGACTGTATCGACAACAAACATAGCATCAACACCATCTGCATATAGTAAATCACGGTATTTACTGTAAGGCACAAGTCGGTGGAAATATAAAAGCGTAGTTTTCAATCACCAATAACCTTTCACAAAACTGTTGCAAATCATGGTAATTTCTCTATCTGTGAACAATCCGATGACAACTCTGTTATCGACGATAATGGGCTTCTGTTCCACAAGATCCGTTGTTTCAAGCTGGCCGATGGTGCTTTTAGAAATAGAAATCATAAGAAGAGGTTGAAGAAAGACGGGCTCTAACAGAACGTGTTGATGAATGAATAGAAGGGTCTCTGCAACGAACAGCCACTTCAATGCTACACATCTAAGTGATGATGGAAGATCAGTATCAGATATTGAACAAGTGCTTGAGATATGGTAAGCAGGGAGACTATCTGATACTTGATACGAGATAGTGCTTTCATCGGATCAGTCAAAGAGTCTCTTCGTTGTAAGCTTGTCCGGATGGGCGTTATATCCCCAGCCCGTCAAAGAATTTTAGATGCACTCTGTCAGTTGTACTGGTCAACTTTGGAGCTACATACAAGACTCAGGATGCCAGCAAGGGTTTCAATGCGGGATTAATGGCGACTGGCATGGAAAGAAGTGTGAGGCAACAACCCTTCCTAACAATTTCGAGCTGCATTTCAGTTTATTTATGCCGTTCCACACCTCAAGAACCAGCCCGTCAAGAGCTGTTGCTACATTACAATCAGTGGAAGAGTGGCAAAAAGATTTCACCCTTGTACGAAGATCCAAGTCCTATTTCTCAAGCTTGAAATTCCTCACAAGAAGCTGAGTCAGTCACATTTAGTACGCTGATCGTCTTGGTTTGTCCTTAGAAATCTGCTTTAGACTACTGAACCGATCTTTGCTGGAAAGCTCATGGTAATGGAAGGTCGGATGTCAAAAAGTTTGAGATCTGATGAAGACAAAGTCGTTGGCTGGTTGCCCCAGGCACAACGTGTAGAAAAACTGCTTAGATATCGAAAATTACAACGTAAGAGCTGCATCTTCTAGTTACTGCTTAAGTGGTCTCGTCTTTCACACTTAGGAAGGTCACCGGAAGACCAGGCTTTGCCCCCAAATACAGAATCTTGAGTCTTGACTAACCACAAGATTCCCACATGTTTCATGTTTGTTTCCTGTTTCCTAGTAACATTCCGGTACTGAAAGAAACAGTAATCCGTTAAGTAAGGCATGGCTTCTAAACTTGGGAATGACCCGAAGTTAAGACAAAGTTCCACAAATTTGCTGTCTAGTGATACTTTTATGGAATACATCAACAACCCCGACTGCTACGATTGTTTTGGCTACTCATTTTCTTAATTTTTCTAACTCATAAGGAATGTTACATAGTTTTCAAATGAATTAACAATTTTTAATTCATCCCACACAAGAATTAACATTTAAGGTTGGCTACACTTACCCTAATTCAGACTGTTGAAATAATTCCGGCAGGATTCAATTCCACACATTCGATCTTATAAATGTCTCCAGCCTACCTGACTTAAATCAACTCAAGTGCCAAGGGTTACCCCAAAACTAGAAGAAAAAGAAAACGAACAATTTTTTTATTTTCAGAGTCTTTTCATATTCCATGTCCCTTTTAACTGATTTCCTGGACGCTAGTTACATATGGGTTCAATGCTTTACATGAATGCACACTTTCCACACTTAAAACACACTAGCTGACAGAAATTGACTAGTTTTGATTATGCAGCTTGAGGATGAAGCAGGCGTCATTGCTGTTGCAGGATAGGTCTCTTAATTTTCCGATGGCTGCATTAACCACAAAATACAGTTGATAAGCAAGTCATAATCGAAACAAGCCAAAACTTCACAATCTTTAGACCTTGAGATCACTGCAAGTTTCACAATTGAACTCACTTCATGAGACCCCAACTGCAGCCTCTTTAATCGGGTTTGCATAGAATCTCTCGTGTGTGAATACAACATTTGAAAACAAGAATTAAACATTAAATAGCTTTGACGAGACAAAGTTGTCAACTCACCACTACGAGGGGCGTGTACGGGTTATCCTCTTCACTGTGAACAGGTAGATACTGTTCTTCAGCATCGTATTTCAACTTACTCGAGAAGTACAATACGATGACCACAAGCAAAAAGTAGACCTTGTACGCCAAATATAGAAGAGCAACGAGGATAGCCAAAATGCACACTATCCAAAATGGCAACTTGCCAGTTGCTGGAAAGAATACAGCGAACTGGACAAGAATAGAGAATGCAGCCGCAACGACGAGGTCCGCCAGTACGTAAATTAGCGCAGGTGCTAACTTCGTCTTGAAGAGATTTGGACTTTTCTTCAGAGCTGCTAGACCATAATTAGCAGGCTCTAAGACTGCAATTAGTTGAGCGAAAAGGAAAACAATTCCCAAAACCAATAGGACGATGCCAACTAACACCTTCTTCAGGATTATAACAATGTGGACGTTAAGGGAATGCTTGAAGAAGCGCAATATCAGGTGAAACGGGACTGAAATCACGAAAACAGTGACTGCAGTAATCAAGAGAAGCCAAAGGAAAGTGACGAATTGTCGGAAGAGAGCCTCAGGAAGGGACTTGAAAGTGGACTTGATTATGGAAGGGTCCTCCTCGCCGTTTGCGTAGATATATTCCACTATCTTGGATATGGCTGCCATGGCAAGGCTTATAAGCAGCCACATCACGATGGCTACAGCAAGCCCCATCATTACGGGGGGATGAGGGTGAGGGGGATGAGGATGGGGGCAAGGTGTGGGTGCAGGTGTGGGTGCGTAGACCTCTGATCCAACACTTCCCTGCACATACAGACTCTCGAAAGAGTTAGTAAAACTGTGATCCTGACCCTATTCACAATTCACTAGATCTCGGTCAACTATCATATTACCTTTCTTCGTAAAGCCTCAAAAACTGCAACTGATCAGATTGATTTCTAGAGCCCGATGAAAACCTAATTTGCTAGAGACCTCTTGTTTATTTCAACATAAATCTATAAGCACCGTCCGCTTGCAGAATTGATCTTTATCAGCTATATTGAAAACCTTCATCCCTATCATTTGGAAGATTTCAGTCGCGCACAGGGCTATGGAACGTTTTGACGACACAGTTCATAGATCCCTTGAAGGGATCTGAAAGATTGACAAACATGAGTCCAAGAGCCGGTACTTACGTTGAAGGAAATCATCAATTTCAGACAGAAACCTGGATATATACGTCGATCCTGATTACCTCAAGGATTGAGATGCAAATTCAAATAGGAAAAGGAAGAAAGAAGAGCAGCATTACCTCCGAGGAACTATGGAAGCCCTGAAACCCAGAATAGTGATGGTGGAAATGGTGGTGATAAAATTGATCAGGGTGGAAATGGTGATGAAGGAAATGACCCGGCTGAAGAGAATTGTGGTGGTAGTGGTGATGAGGATGCGGATGCGGATGCGGATGGGACCCATGACTGATCATCCAAGCGAAGCCAAGCATCTGCACAAGCTCAAGCAGCACCACCGGAAGGAGAAAGGCCATGATAAACGGATGCAGCAAACGGAAATAGCTTGACAGAAGCCTCCATCCCTCCTTGAAAATTGTAACCACGCTCCATCCTCCCAGATTGTCTGGAAACCCCTCAACCATCTTGACAACGTACCCGTTCCACTTCACCCACAATCTGTCACCCAACCATCTAAAATCAGTCTAGACAGCGCACAGACCTCGTCTCCAAAAACACGCCTCAAAACCAGTTTAAACTGACGGCCCTTCCTCATGAAATAGCAATCGCTCACAAATTATAGGCTCCAAAAAGAATCTGCAACGCACCCAAGTTCTTCGCGTCGCTACGCCACACTTCCAAAAGCCTTCACTTCCAAAAGGTGTCGGCAAGGGAAGAACTCTAATCAGGCTCCGTTGCACATCATGTATAAGAAGGGAAACGGCGATGCGGCTCGGCACGAAGGTCAAGAAGCTAGGAATCTGCCACCCACCAACTCTCACGCTGCCTTGAGCAGCACGCAATGACGCTGCAATCATATATGGCGTCATGATGCAGGTGGTAACTATGTGCCCCCCGGAGCCTGCATGCCCAGCCAGCTACAGTGGTCAACAGGTCCTCCAACATCTGCGCCGCAAGGTGTATCATCTGGGCCAGCTCCGAAATCACTCCCAGCTCTAAACATATCTACTGCCGGAGAGTGCAACCCATCTACAGTTGCATCTACAGACCCCAAAGCTCAGCGACGAATTACCGATGTGGGGATGTCACTCAAAAACTAGAGCTCTCTCACTCCTGGATCTCACACCAACTACCGCAATCGTCGCATCGTTGCAAAAACCTTGGCAAGACTGGTGCTATTTTTCTTCCCAGGTACTGTAGATTTGGAGAGTCCGGATCTGGAAAGCTTCTTTGAATGTGACTATCCATGTGGGGCACACTCCATGCAGTCTTTGACATGATTCTCCGGGGGTGCTTGACATAATTGCCTCAAGAAGAAGATGGAGATGAAGAAGACGATGAAGGAGGAAGGAAAAGCGTCTCTGCAGCAACATGGAGATGGAAACAAAAACAAGCATTGTCTTCTGATCAGGTTCAGAACCTGGGTCCCAAAAATGCGCCTCCCACATCGTGCTTTTTATTGGATTTCGTTGAAAAGTGGCAGCAGAAAGATGGAATCCGGAAGCGTGATTGTTGACAAGTGCAGGAAGACCTGGAGTTCAGTGGCTCTTGCTCTCTATTAAGCTCATGTTTGCAGCTCAGGCTTTTGCTGAGATTTTGTTTTGTTTAGTTGGCTGTTTTGTTGCTTAGCGTTGTGGAAATTCTTGGATTGTACATAGAAATTGGCTTATGGTGGAATTAGATCAATTGCTGGGAACGCTGACTAGCAAATCCTGATCATAAATGATATGAACATAGTGTGCGACTATATATATACATATATACATCTATAGATAATGCTTCATTGACCCTTAATGAAGAACGATAATGAAATAATATTTGTTACGGAAGTTTAAAAAAAATTAAAAGTTAAAAAATAAGTAAAAAATCTTACTGCAAGAATAACTCAGAGATTACTGTTTTTTCATTTAAGAAAATCTCAAACGTTTCATCAAGTATTTTCATGTATAGTAAAAAGATGAAGGATTAAGCTCATTACTGACCCATGAAGAAATGATTTGTTATTTGTAAGTTTTTTTTTTTTTTTTTTTTTTTAAATAGCTTTTATGCATAAAGTTTTATTTAACCTTCCTATAATACAAGAGAGATTAGGTCTGAAGCATTTGCATGGCAAGAGAATTCTAAATATAAGAAAATTAAGAGGGAGCTTCTATCCAAAGTATATCTTGATATCCAGCATATTTGTGTGAAAAGAGTAAAATTACTAGTTGTTATATTCACAAATTTCTAAAGTAGATTATACAAAAGGGGTGATTTAAAGAAGGCAAACTTGGCTAAAAAAAATATAGAAAAGTTGTAGAAAAATTAGAACACATCTTCCAAAGCTTTGCTCTCATTTACATGGAATTTGTGTACCTTTGAGTTGCCATTAATTAAAGAAAAAAATAATTCTAATGTCCAATTATTATTTACCTAAAAACTTATTGTCTTATATTGTATTGTATTGTTATGAATTTGTATCATGAACTACTACGACAAACAACTAACTCTCATTAAACATTTCAATTACTTTTCTCTGTTATAAATGTACAAATGTTTGCACAGGCCTTGAAAAAAACAATTGAATCCAAACAATCTCTACATATCTCTAAACTTAGAAACCAAATGGACCATCTTCACATTTCAATATTACTTCCTTGACAATTGTGCAAAATTCTAGTCCAAAGCTTTCAATATCCTTGATACAAAACTTGGATAAAAATGGTTGAAATTTAAGAGAGTATGACATGGAGCATAATTCAATACTGCACTTTGGGGTGGCCCATATCAAAGCCTTGTCAACTCACTTTAAAATTTTTCAAACTGTCCTCTACAGTGACCCTAAACTCAACTTCTCTGAACTGTGCACAAAATTCTTGTGTCATTTATGTGTCAATGAACACTTTGCCATAGAAAATGGTTCACTGCACTCATAAGATCACTGTTTCTAGGGACCACACAACCTGTGAAACAGTCAACTATGGATGGGACCAATGCTTTTTTTGTTTTGTTATTGCTTCAGAATTGCACTCATCCAAAGCTCTCGTTTGCAACATTTTGTTTGTTTCAGTTAAAAAATTTCTATTTTTATTGCTGTTCTTATGATATACAGATGTGGGTTGGAATTTTTCCAACTATCAGCACATGCTTTGCTATAATTTTCTGAAGCTTCAATGTCTCCATCTTAAATGCTTTTTTGACTTAGAACATTGTATTGTCAACAAAGGATTACAGATGTGACCTTATGAATTGAATAGCTTCAAGTTCTGCAGCAAATAAAGTTTGTAGCAGTTTTCTGGGTGTGTAATTATAAATAAAACTTTCTGATAAATATGTATGTATGTATATATGTATGTATGTATAAATATACAAATAAATATATGTATGTATGTATGTGTGCACTCATATCCATTAGCAATGGTTTGAGACAATAGCCGCTGATGTGCATTATGCCATTAGAAGCCTCCAATTTTCTGAGCAGAAATTCATTTTTAAGTGAAAAAAAAGGAAAATAAATAAATAAATAAATAAATGTGCAATTGCAAAGAGGATATTATTTATATTCTGAAATAAAACAAACAATATAAGTGATCACAATTATATTTTTTTGAACACACACACACACACACACACATATATATATATATATATATATTGTTGTTGTATAATTTATTATTATTATTATTATTATTATTATTTTTGTGTTTTAGCCACAATAAATTTTGAAAATACATTATTCTAAAAGAATATTAGATTTCACATTATTTAATAAAAACTTATATATGTATAATATTACAATACACACAAATACACACAATTCATGTGACATTAATTATTTATGAATATATATATATATATATATATATATATATATTTGACTTATTTCATGTTCTTATTATTTGTGGTTGTGAATATTAATAGATTTATTCCAAATTTTTATTTTAATTATATATATATATATATATATATATATACATACAAGTCAATAATCAAATAAATTAATGTAAAATGCTATGAAAAAAATTATGTTTCTACCTCTTGAGGTATTTAGTCGCATTTAATATGTAGATCAGTTTTACAGGAAATAACATTGTGTATCTGATGGAAGCTAAAGTATAACTTTCTTAGCACCTTCTCTTTTAGAATAACAAAACTTGTGTATTTTAGATGGAGTCGTTTAATACTTTTAGTTATCTAAGGCAATATATTTAGTTAGAAGAAACATGTAAACTATTACTTTGTTGATAGACATGGTGTGAGTGGTTAACACTAACTACTTGACCATATTAGTGAAGTTTACTAGGCATCTATGTCTTAAACATTAGGATGTTACTGTAATAATATAGTGATTTAGTTTATTTTTTTAATTTGACATCTTTATTATTTATGATTCGAACAAAAACAAATTGTAGAAATTTATTTAAATTTATAAAATAGAAATAACCAAATTAGAAAAGGATGTAATTTAGAAGTATATTAAATCAGAAAAAAATAATTATAAAAAATAGACTTCACAAAAGATAAATAAATAAATAAAAACCACAATGGTAGAATAAGATCGTAAAATTTAAGTTTTATAAAATGAATATAAAATAAACTTGCAAATATAGTGCTTTAATAATATAAAATATTTTATTTTAAATTAATTATCTAAAATATTAAACATTTTAAAAATCTGTAATTAAAAAAATGATTTTTTTTAATTTAATTAAATCAACATTAAAAATTGCAGAAATAATTATAAGTTTTGTAAATAAAATTAAGAATTTGGTACAGATAACAATTGGTATTCTTTTTTAATAAAAGTATCACACAAATATAATATTAAAAAGTCAAAATGATAATAATTTTAACTTTTCTAATAATCTCTCTCTCTCTCTCTCTCTCTATATATATATATATATATATATGCATATACATAAAAACTAAATCATATAATCACAACCATATTTTGTATATAACTATTGCAAAAGTTACATTAAGTTTTACATTCATTATTATTATAAAAATTGAGTTAAAAATAAATAATAAATTAATAATTTATGTTACATATATATATATATATATATATATATATTAAAGTTTACCATATTTAAATCTTTTGATACATTAATTATGACATATTATTTTTTTTGTCATATGTTAATTCTTTGAAAATATTATTTACATCCTATAATATTGTTGATAATAATTAAAAGATTGAGTTTACATTTCAAATGTTTAAAAATAATAAATTTTTTTAATAATATATTTTGAATTCTATATGTTGTTTTGATGGCTAAAACAAAAAAAATACACATAAAGGTCAAAATAAGAATTTAACATATTTAGTGTGTATAAAATTTAATATTAATTAATGCTTATTGTAAAAAAACAATTCAAGGATTTAAGATATATATATATATATATATATATATATATACATACATACATATACATATTTATATATTAGTGCTATATCTCCAATTAATATTACTACATACCACAGGACCTCTTGACAACGAAAAATTGATTAAAAAGCATGCTTTGATACTTGGGGCACATTTGGCAGCTCAATATTTAATCCTAATGTTAATATAAAAATAGAATACATATAAAAATAAGCTTTTGTGAACTTGGCAGCCACATAGTATTTTTTTAAAAATAAGAAAAATAAGAAATAAAACAAATTAAACAATTTTTATGAGAAATACTTTGTTTCAAAAAGAACAACTCACAACCTATTTTTATATTTAAAATATTAATTTATCTAATTAAATTTTAATGTATAAATTTAGTAATACCATTTTAATGTAAATATTTATGAATTTCATAAAATTTTCAATACAAATACTATGATATGAACATTATATGAAAATATTGCAATATTATATTAGTATTTATAATAGACCTACAAATAGTTAATTTGTTAACAATGCTTTAAATAGACATATAAAGTATATTTAAATTGAGGTTATATATATATATATATAATTAAAAAAATCATCAAAATCCTTAATAAATAATATAACCACACACATGGCCTTAACAACAACAACAAAAAATTAAAAAATAAAAAAGTAAAAAAGAAAAATAATCATCTATACCCAACTATGTGTTATTTGAATGTTTTCTATGTTAAAATTAAAGATGTGTGACAGCATTCAAAGCAATTTTTTGTCACGAAACAATGTCATGTTGCATAGAGAGATTTTTTGTTAAATAAAGTAAATGTCTTCATTGCATTTAATATGTGACTTCTAAAATAATGGAAGGATATTCCATGCTAGTAATACACAAATAATATAAATTGTTGCACCACTGTAAATTTGATATTTTTTTTTGTAAAATTAAATGTTGGATAATCAAATCATGTGAAAAAATCAATACATAAACACATACACACATTAAATGATATTCCTTTAGTGCAATTAAGTATAATATCTAAAATACTTTTTGTAATACTCTCAAGGTTCATACTTTGTTATTCACACATCACTAATGCAAATGCATTAGACTTACCGTCAATTTATTTATTTATTTATTTAAAAAAAAAAACCAATTGTGATGCATTTCTAAGATGAATTTGCAGTCAAAGCATAAAAACTCAAAATTAATTTTCTTCTAAGTCTCCAATCCGTTGGTATATTAAGAAAACTCTGTAGAAACAATAATAATACCGTTGGGTGGAGGGAACGCTTTGGGAGCGATTGACCCCGTCAAGGGGACCGTAAAAAATAGCTGTTCTAATCACGCCACTGACATTCCCATTCAAATCCACATTCGAACGTCATCCACAGGCACCCCCACCTAATGCATCCGTCATTCATCCAACATTCATCCATCTCACTCCCCCCGCCACCTCAGCTGAATGAATGGTCCACGTCATCCGTCCGTGCGCGGGCCTCGTTTGAACCTGGGGATTTCCCCGCCTTTCAAACAGAGCCCCCCCGCCGCTCGCGCATGCCCGCCCTCCCCCGCAAGCAAGCATCAGGTCTCGGTGCTCGATCCAGCGATCGTTGCAATTCCCATTGTCAGCTTTCTTCGACGAGTGCTCGGGTTAATTGATGGGTACTCTGCTGGACCTGATTTCACCGTCTTTGGTGCCGTAACGGAGCTGGGTTCGTTGCGTTGGCGCCCATTTGACGTGTCTTGGTTGTAGGGTTGCAGCGGCCGTGTTTTGCATGCTGGAATTGTTAGAAGGTTTGAGGGCTGGATTTGTTCCCTTTGGTAGCACGCGCGGTAGGAAGTGAGCGAGAGAGAGAGAGAGAGAGAGAGAGGAGAGTGGAGGAGACAGGAAAGAGGTGGGAAGAGTTGAGATGGAGCCCAGTCTTGGAACTGGCGATGAGGAAGCAGGGAAAGAGTGAAGGGTCGTCGCTGGTGGCGGTGGTGGTGGTGGTGAAGTCCGTGGCGTTTTTGCTTCTTCCGGTTGCTCGTTCTGGGACATTACATTGTTGCGCGGATTATGCAGTGTCGGACGTTCGTGTTACATGTGTGAGGATGAGTGTGTGAGGATGAGGGTGTGAGGATGAGGGTGTGAGGATCTCGAGTAGAGGTCTGGAAATCGAGTGAATGTGGTATTTAAGGGTGAATTTTGAAGCAGCAGCTTCAGGTTTTGGATGTGTTATGTTGCGGGGACCAAATGCGGGCAATGTCGATCGGATGTCTGGTGGATACGTAATTGGGTGACCTCGATTGGCTGGGGGAGTGAAAGGAGCTCGAGAGTGGGGATTTGGGAATTGGGTACCTGGTGTGTGTGCATATTGGTCTTAGTGTGTGCGCGAGATGATATCGTCGCGGTATGTGTGCAAGAAACCGTTTGATCCGACGGACGGAATGGCGTCTTCTCTCGGTAAAAGAAAAACGCCGACTGAGCTCCGGGTATGGTCTCTTTTCCTTTGGCTCCCGTTCTGATGCACTCACTCTGGCAGATCAGGCGTGCCAACATTCTCTAGCATTGCAGTTGGTTTAGTGACAATGTTGGAATAATTCAAGCTGAAATTGTTGTGGTTCGCACGATAGCTGAGCCTTTATTCCCTGTAATCATAGCATATTTCTGGAACGTGGCAATGTTGTTACTAGTCTTTTTCAGAGAGGCCTCTCATAGTGGCATCATGTTTATGCTTTTGAGAATCTTAATTATATTGGGCGCTGAAAATGAACATCTGGTGTGAGTTGACACCCAATCATGAGTTTTTTTTGGGTGGTTTTTTGGTTTTTTTGGAATATCTATCTTCGCACTGGTCATTGCGATTCATATTCAATACAATCAGCCTTGTGTGCCCCCGACCTAACAATCACAGTGGAATCAGGCGCTATGTTGTTAGGTCCTTTGGGTAGTTTCTAGGGTTTTATGATGATGGGTGTTGTCAGGCAAGCTGGATATAGGAGACCTCTGTCCTGAGCATTAGCCATTCTCATTTTGAAGGATCAGAATAAAGAGGTTTAGGAGTCTTGCAATTCTTAAGACTTTTAAGTTGGCCTCTTAATTGTACACAGAAGTGGGTGGCTTGCACATATTGGAAGTGTAATTTATTTTTTCTCTGCGTAAGTTTTCTGCCAAATTGGTCGTCAGAGAATGTAGCTCGCCTTTCATTGACCGCAGTTTTGTTGATGCATGAATGCAGTTGGAGCAGTTGAAGCGGCATCAATTATCAAAAGTTGGTGAACAAGACGAAAAACTTCCAGATTCCCAGGGGTTTGTCTCTGATGGTCCCTGTTTTGCAGCACTTTCATGTCCTATGTACACCATCTAGTTAGTATCAATCAGCGTACAGTTTTAGAATCTAAGTGCCTGTCAAATTGACTTCATTAAAGTAGGTTTTGCATCTTCTTGGATTAATTTTATGTTGATGTAAACTGAAGAGCTGAAAACGTCTGCAGTTCCAAACTATCCAACTAATTGTTAACCATTGCGGACTTCTGCAGGTTTTCGATCCAACCAAGAGACGCGGTATTGCCCTGTCGTCTACCTGGTGACGATGAAGCTGCGGATTTTCATGCCCCAGATGATTCTCGGGAGAAATTTCGGTTTCGTTTGGTGCGAAGTTTTAAGGAAAAGGTGACTTATTATCATTTTCAGAAGTTGACGATTGTGAAAAGAAGATTCATAGAGGAGACATTTTGTTGAACTAATGGTTTATTTCTTTGAGTTATTGTACTAACTGCTGTATGGTTGCCTTTGTCCTCCAGGATACTTGCTCAGTTCCTCAACAAGAGGCCAGTCAACAAGGAGCTGCCATCCCTGGAAAGAGCTGCGCAGATTCTATTTCGTTGTTTTCCAGGTCCACTGAATCACCATTTAGCTTTCAGCAGTATACAATCTAGGACTCTTGCGGTCTGAAGTTGGTGTTGACTGATTTAAATCCGACTTGCCACTCCGAAATTTGTTCATTCAAAGATAGAAAGGATGTGTGTTTTCCGATCTTTAAGACATGTTCGTGTCAGTGTGCGTCATTCCTCCATAATTTACTTGTCTTTGTCAATCCATGGCCCGTTACTCTTGTACCAGTCATAATTGCGTTGAATATTTGATCACTTATGCCTCTTTTATTCTGATCATGTAGGTATAAAAACGACATCCCTTCAAATAGCTCCACGAAGACTGGTGCACAACTCGATGGCGGAAAGAAGGAAGTTCTTCCTCTCAAGGTCGAGGAGAAGGTTAAAGGATTGTACGACTGTGCTTTTCGGGACGTCAGAGATATCTCCAATTCGCAATCTCTGCTAAAGGCTGAATCAAGCATTGACATGGTACTAAATTTATTCAATTTTTTACTGCTACATCTAGTTTCGCATTGAGCACATTTAATCTTCAAAATTGCGTTTAACGTTGTCTTTCCCTGGGTCGTCGCAACCCATGGGAGATATCATTCTGGAGCTATCTACGAATGGAATACATTTTACCGTTCCATCTGCATTTTGTAACCAATTAAATACCTTATAGCTATACCAGTCGTTTTGGGCTCAACTGAGTGTTGTTCGTTGTTGTATGCGGACCATTTTATGCTCTCGTGGTCCGTTATGACCTCTAAAAGTGCCTTTTTGGTTGTATGTTTAGGTGGAAGCTTTGAAGAAGTTAGCACCTCGAAAGGTCTTGGGATCATTCGATTTCAACGCGGGTCTTATACCTACAGAGCATAGCAACGATCTCAACGATCGATTGGGAGCAGATAATGGATCCGTTACCAGAGCTAACACTCTTCCAAGGAGCGGATTACCCATCTCCACTGGTCCAGTGGAGGATTCGAAGACATGGTTGCCTTTTAAGGGATGCTATGCTCCTCTAGATCTTAGTCTTAAACAGATGGCTCGTTTCACTTCTCCGGATTCTCTTCACTGGTGCGTACACTCTAAAAGATTTGAATGAATTTAACAAGGAGCACTAAATCCAGAATGATACCTTAAACCAGCAACATTCACTTTACGAGTAGTGTTACGTTTCACAATTATTACGGATGTTCTAACTCAGAAATGTTGTTATAAGTGCCTTTTGGACGGACAAGATCTAATGTCTATTTGCTGCAGGTGTCACAGATTGAGTTCAAATATCCAATGTAAAGGAGTGCAACAATTTACACAAGGACTTGGTGTTCTGAGTAGGAAAGAAGACAGCGTTCGGCCAATGTCATGTTCGGAGAGAAGTGCAGATGATGAGAAGCTAGGGGCAACACTCTGGAGTTCACTTCATTCATGGGTTTATCCACAGTCTACTCTACCTCCAGCTGTGCTGTCTGTAATATCCTCAGCTGCAGCTCGTGGAGGGGAAGCAGGTATTCTTAACAACATTTCTAATACCTCATAGGTTGCCAGTTGCCCATTAGCTACACTTATTCGACCGGGATATGCTATTTGCGACCTGTCACGATTATCTTCTTCAATTTTTTGTGCAGTTGCAGGTAGAAAATATCAATCAGCAAGTAGCTGAAATCATTCACTCTGGATAGCATTGCCTTTTCATTTACCTGTTGTTCATTCATTCAATTCTGTATGGATTATGGACTCCACAGAAAGGTCTTTTCTTTCCAAAAGAGACCGTGCTTGGGAGGCTGCGTTTCGGTCGCTTTACTACAATTTTCGCTCTCAATTTTGCTCTGTCTTTTACGGTAAGTGGCTGACACTCTCATTTTAGATGTTTCTTCTGTCTGATAGTTCAGATACATTTCAGCTAGTCTGCTTTTGATCGTACTATTGAAGTCGTTGTGGTAGTTTAGGTGTGTGCTACTCGCGTGGCGCTCACTTCACTTAAGCATCCTCTTTTTTACCACTGTACCTTGATGCTTAACTCAATATTTAGGATTGGAACTGGGGATCTGCAGAATGGATCCAATTATAACTTTACGCGGTTGTAGTTTGTATGCAGCAATTCGTCGCAATGTTTGTCGGTGGTGGAGTTGGAGGAAGAAGCCAGGGTGCTTGTACTGCATACTTGACCCGCTCAACACGAGGAGTGCGACAAGTTCTTCTTGAACATGTAAGATTTGTTTGAAGGACTTGAGGTATACAGGTCCAGGTGTATATTGACTGATGTATGACTACCTAGAAAATTTGAATATCGCATCACGGGGCCGTAGAAGAGCGAATTGCCATCATAAACTTTCCTCATTGTTAAAGAAATGGCCGGGTTAATTCATAGAAACTACCGAAACCGTCCGTTTGATCGGCTTAGTGGAAAGCATTCATAGGTATACAGGATCTGAGGTTTATTTGGGTTTACATCTTTTTCGGTGTCTTCTTCGAGCTAATACCTTCTGGTTTTGCAGGATGTTAAGTTCTCAATGCCCTTCAGTACCTCTGGCGACCCCACAACTACTGTCGAAGATCTTCAAGATTTGCTAGAATTTGAGAAGTCCAATCCTGGCCAGGTGGGTAGAGAGTATTAATTTGATCTTTATTTTCAGCTGTAAAGAAATTTTATTAACAATTTGGGCATGTAACTTCTTTCTTTCTTGCTTATGTTGATGTAACTGATTCACGGAAGAAGCACCGATTGTTCACAGCTGATCTTTCGTTTTCTGGTCTATTGATAACTGATCTTTATCAATTTGGATGTTCAGACAAGAATGGCAAACGAAAAGGCAGCTTCAGACAATGGGCCACAATCAATGTTGTGCTTTGAAGGTTACTCTAATGTGCATCGACTTTATGATTTTCTCATTAATCACAGGTAACACCTAAAAACTCTTAGCAAGTGAATAACTAATCGCTTCATTTTCATGATCGATTTTGCAAACAAAACACTGGAGAATACCCTTTGTGTCCAACAGATCACTAGAATTCTCTGCACATCTCCTGTACTTGCAGCATAGGGTCACTTTGTGGTTTATTGAGGGATGTAATGTTGATTACTTATGCCTCAGCTTGTCTGACTTCAACTTTATTTGATCTTTTACATGACGTCAGATTTCTCCTCAATTCTACGGCTGCCATGGACGTTCCTGTCCTGTATGCGCCAACGGCTTTCGAGAATGCGTGTCTCACTGCTCCTGAGGTGAATTTCTCTCCCACAAACCACAACTTGCTTATTAATGATGTGTGTGGGCTTCACTCGGACTATGTCTATATTTGGCAATTTATAGCAAGTTCAAGACTTATTGTTGCACTGATTTAACTAATTTATTGGTCTTTCGTTAAACACATTATCTGTCACGTTTATTTACTTTGCCTTCTCCAACAGATCACTTGCAAACAACTGCAACGAACAGATGGCTTTATCAAGCCTCCAGTAAATAATAGTAAGAAAAATATTAGTCCGAAGTGTACAGAAACAGCTAGCAATACAATGTACACAATGGAGATAAAGGGATCCTTTCTTCCACCGTGGGTTATCATACGGCTGTGTGCAGTGCTTCAGGAATCTCAACCTCTTGGTTACTCTGTGCGGTAAGGCAAAGCTCAAGTTTCATCTCCTTGATATTCAGTTCTATGTCGTGAATGTACCAGTCTTTTTCAATCCTCAGAGCTTGCTCGATTTCTGAGTAGATTTGAGTTATTCTCTTGTCTTTTTAGGAGGGACGTGGGCTCATCATTTAAGGTTCTAAATGACTTCCTGACATTTCCTGTGAGATGGCATTTGGAGGTCTTCATTTTGGATGTTGAATTCAAATGTCTGATTTCAACTTCATGATCTTGCTTCTGTAGGTTTGCAACTGAGCCTCTCACCGAGGGCCTCAACATTGCCCAAGAGGAGCGAACCGACAGTTCAAAACCTGCAAATTTCAAGAATTTTTTCTCCAACTTGAATGGTGCTACAAATGGTGACACAATCTCCGAAACAAAGATGGAATCTTCTACTGTCTCTTCATCAGAACTCAATCACTCTTCCGGTATAGGGACTGCTGTTGTCAAGGAACTCAAGTACGAGGGTGATTCATATAGAGCAGCTTTGGCGCCTCTTCAACTAGCAACCTCATCTTGAGAACTAGATGCGTGCCATGACAGTTGATTTGTAACAATAGTTTTCCTGTTTCTTAGAATTTGCAGTTTTGATATATGCAGTGTAATAGATCATGCACCTCTCTGATTTTGCTGCCTACCGAAGTGGAAGGCCTAGATAGGGCCAAGTTGATTTGGCACTGTATAATCACATTTCATTTATTGTAAACAAGTTGTTATCTCAGTGTGCGCATACTTTTTCAAGCATAGAAATTTCAATTTCATAACATATTGCACAAAAGTAGTCATGCAGTTGCCACATCCTTATCATTTTTTATAATCCTGTATTCCGGGGTATCCAACGATGCTCAATACGCAACAGCTGGATGTGAAACGTACTCTTGACCAGTTCACAACAGGTTGTCCAAAATTACTAACCACAACGTTCACATGTTTCCAGAAGCTCCGGCAAGGTGCATGAGACTTGACGGTATGGTACCCAATGCTGTTTTTTAGTTGAACACAGCTGCAATTCATTATACACTGTGTTTTTGAACTTCAACACTTGGCTACAATTTGTACGAGTATAAATATAAATTACCATTACAAATGTGGTAAGTTATTTTATACTTTTTTAAAGATGTTTTTATTTCATACCCTGCAAGAATAATATATTACAAATGTGGTAAGCTGTATTATACAATACTTGTGCGTATTCTAAAAGTATAAAATAACAAAGTCAATCCATAATGTTTTTGTGTTAAACACATCCTTGCAATTATCTGAACTAAAGGTCTGGTTGGAAGCACTTGGCTAGGTACAAGAAGAATCTTACTTCCAACAATTCATTTTGTATTTCGTTATTTGAAGGATAATATTAGAATAAAAACTACATTTTTGAACTATATTGAAATAAGAAATTAAAGAATCATTTTAAAACATTGAATTACATAAAAAAGTACTAAGTCCTTAAACTCATAAACTTTCACATTAAATACTCACAGAAAATTTATCTTCAACTATCTTAATTCTGCACAAAATATATTTCAACTTGTCACAACACTATCAGTACCTTATATCAAAATTATTGTTACTGTTTTTAAGTGTTAATTTTAATATATTTATATTGGTTTCCTTATCGAGAACCGAAGTTCCCAATTCAAATAAACCGAGATTTCGCAGATCACAAAACTATTCAATCAGTGATCCCCCTATGGCCCCACCAGTCTGTTCCCATGGTTCCCTTCGTTCCCAACTAAACCCGAAGAATGAAGAAAATTTATAAAAATATTTGTACCGACATTCCTCCCTCCCAAAAGTTCCATTCAGGTTTCGTTTTCACTTTTAGGCACCAGAAAGTACATGATCTGGATCAAGCCCTAAATCCTCCTTTGTTTTTACTTTATCTTAATTTAGGATTATGTGGGGTCCTCAGCTACAGTATTCCAGATTTGGTATGGGTTGTGTGATACTCTGATAAATGTTTATATTTTTTGTTTTTATATATTAAAAAAATGCAATTTTTTAAGGAGCTGTTGTAATGTTTATCCATCCAGGGAATCCAATCCGGTACCGAATCAATACATATAGAATAGTGGGAATAGGGGGTAGGTTCAACCTCTCTGCATTGCAAGTTTGGTGGGGTCCACGGTGGTAGGGGCGACTTGGTTGTAGGCCCTCCTCCTCCAGCACCCCTTTTAATCAACAAAATATAAAAGAAGATTATTATGCACAATTTCTGCCTTATACCATGGCTTGGCTCCACACGCTTTGGGCTCCGTAATAGAATTTTTGTTCGTCTTTTCCGGATGGGTCCAAGGAAATTGCAACACGTTTTCAACTCCTCCTCGGTAATGGATCCTTTTTTAACTACTCCAGTGGATTCTGCTTTTTTATTTTATTTTGTGTATTTCTTTCCGATCTTTTGATTAACCAGGATTGCGGTATGAGCGCAAATTAGATGGACCCAAATAATCGAGGACTTGGTATTCCGACCCCCACTGTGTCCCGTGCAGGGAAAATGGGTCAGCCGGAGAAACGTCGGGTCCAAATACATTTGCAGTTTAAACGGTTGGGTGTGCGATCCAGAGTGTGTGGTGTGAAAAGGGCTCCTAGGGGTTCCCGCATAGCCAGCTCAGGCGCAACCAGGGGTAGACTCTGCCAACTGTGATATAAGACTCGTGGATGAGATGATTTAGGAAAGGGTCTGGCCAATGGGAGCGAGCGATCGATATCAGGGCCTACCACGTGGCACCGATAGGAATCCACGAGGCCAGGTTTTGTTGGAACTGGTCTTTGGCAAATCATGACACATCAGCCCCCTCCGTCCAACTGGATCGGCTACTTGGCATTCCTTTTTGCCAGGTAGGCAAAAAGCACCCGTCCAGCGAGGCGAAAAGGGGGTTGTGGCTCACCCTCCAATAGGGATCGAGGGGTCCATTAATAATATTATATTTCTTGGGAGTTTATCACTTTTCAAGAGGTGGAGGTTGCGGTGATAACCGTGTTTCCTAAAATATTAAATACGTCGTTATAAATGAACTAATTCATGGTGGAATATGTAGTCACTTATCTTGTTCATAGTTGTTAGATTAGCAAAATTGTGGTTGTTAGATTTTTATTTTTATTTTCAAAACCATCTAACCATAATTTTAAGTAATGTAATTTGTGTTGTCTACAATTTGAAACAGTTAATTTCAAACTTGAAATTAAGTATGTGTTTCTTGTTTTAGTAAATCATATTGTATAAATCTATAAATGCAATAAATAGTGTTAAATAAGTTTGATAATTTTTTTTAAATATACTAACATTTTTTACAATAATGTAAATTAATTCAGTCCATGACCGTCAATGTATGTGCAGTGAGACCAAAATTTTACCTTGTAAATAAGATAATAAGAAAGATGTTGTAAGCATTATTATCTTTTTACAGGAATCAAAAAGATAATAATAATGCTAAAATTCTTAGATGTCAAATATAGTAAAATGGGACAATCAATAAGTTTTCAAAAATTGTTTTCTTCTCTTGTCAAATCCCTATACATCAAAAAGTATAGAAACATTTTTTTTTTGTTTTATAATATTACTTTTAACTATTTTAATTTTTTTGTTTGTTTGTTTTTGTTTTTTTTTATTTTTATTTTCATTTGTACAAAACATTTGAAACAAGAAAAAAAAATTCTAAAATTTGATGGATGCCTTAAATACTTTAGCGCATGTACAAGGCATATTGTAAGAGGCATTTAGTGGAAAGCACAGACTTACTCAATAACCCATGGAAGGCTGACTTTCTATTTCATTATATTTTTTGTTTGTCTTTTTGACATAACAAACAAGGATAGATTTTGTGCAAAAGTCCACCAAATATGATCACCATCATCATCGTCTCACAATTGTCAACCTCTTCGATACAATATTCCACTAACTTACATACACACAACTTGCCATCCTTTTGAGTCATAAATTCAGAATCATTCCAAATTATAGAATACAAAAAAAGAAACGAAGGGAAGATGAGACACGGAGGCCCCATGAATTCCCATGTCCGAACACGTTCAATCAATTCGTGAGGAAGATTGTGAAGGACGCAAGTGCACCGAGTGGGATCAGTCCAGTGCAGTGCAATCCAATCCAGTCTAGTCCGGAAAGGGAAGGCTAGCAAGGGACGCAGGAAGAGGAAGGAGGTAGCGATGAAGAAGAAGCAGACGACGACGAAGGAGAGGACATTATTATTATATCCTGTTCTGTTCCAAAAACTATCTGGAAAGGGGAATCGGATCCACCTGCTAGTTAGATGGTTTGTCCGAAGTCCCTTCCACTAGCACGCACTGTTCATTCTTTAGGGCGAAGTGGTAGTGATCAAGTGACCCACTTGCAGTACTATGGGTACAAAGAGTCAACATTCTCGCTCAGATCGTGATTGAGGAGTGAGTGAGTGAGTGAGTGAGTGAATGAATGAAGCTGGGCCGTTGAGTAGTGGCTGAGAATGTTGAGGCGTGGGTGAGCTAGGAGAAGCTGGAGTGAGCTCAGTGCATATGACTAAGCTCGTCGGGTTTGGAGCGAATTTTGAACTCAGTTTCGGGGTGAAGATCTGAAGATGGCGGACTTTGTGGCTTACAAGAGGATGATGGAGCTCAGCAGTGCGGAGGAGGAGGCCTCCCACTCGGGGCTCATCCCTTCGCTTCCCGACGACGTATTTCTCAAGTGTTTGGTGAAAGTGCCGTTGCAGTGGCATGCGAATCTGCAGCGGGTGTCGAGGGCTTTGCGGGATTTGGTCCAGAGCTCGGAGTACTACGCCCAACGAAAGACAGAAGCTGCAACTAATGCTCTCGTGTGCATGTTGCAGCCCGTGCCGATGAGTACGAAGTCATTGGAGGAGAAGATCAGTTCCTCTAGCACGGTGCCGGTGTCCGATCCTGTTTATGGAATTACTGTCTTGGATGTGGAGAACTCTGTGTGGGAGCGATTGCCAGGGATTCCTGGGCTGCCAAGCGGTTTGCCTCTGTTTTGCAAGCTCGTGATTATGAAGGGGGAACTTGTGGTGCTAGGAGGGTGGTGGCAGATCACTTGGAAGCCCTCAAAGGTTGTGTTTGTTTACAATTTCAGTAGCCAGAGGTGGAGGCGGGGAGCGGACATGCCGAATGCCCGGAACTTCTTCGCAGTTGGAGCTGTGGGTGACAAGATAGTGGTGGCGGGGGGCCACGATGAGGATAAGAAGGCGCTTGCGTCAGTTGAGGCCTTCGACCTGGAGACAAACGCTTGGGTGAGTCTGCCGAGCATGCGGGAGGAGCGCGACGAATGCACCGGGGTTGTGGTCGACGGGATGTTCTATGTTGTGAGCGGATATGGCAGTGATTCGCAAGGAAATTTCAGAGAGAGTGGAGAAGTCTTCGATCCTGCGAGAAACTCCTGGACGTTTGTTGACAACATGTGGCCGTTCTCGTCGCCGGATTCCGACTTGGCAAGCCCTAGCTCCTTGGCTACTATGGCGGGGAATTTGTACGGAGTTCTAAGGAAAGAGATCGTTGTTTACTCGCAGGAGCGGAATGCGTGGACGGTGGTGGCGACAATACCCGAAGAATCTGAAAAAGGAGAGCTGACGTCCTCGTCCATCACCGCTATTGGTAATCGTCTGGTGATCACAGGGTTTGCGAGAAAGAACAACACCGTGGCACTGCGAATCTTAAGCCTAGCCCCTGCCCACGGTGCTTGCAAAGCTCAGTGGCATACGATTGAGGCGAACGACCAGTTTTTGAACCTATCTCAAGCATCTTGTGCGATCGAGCTTTGATTGTCTTTGCACGACAATCAGTCCTGCGTCTCCTCAGCATTGACGATGATCCACCCTAAGACTAGCTTCTCGGAGATTCGCCATCTTTAGATATTTCTGTAGCGTGTAGGATTGTAGAGAAGCCCTAGACATATTTGGGAGCTTAGAGATGATCTCTTTCTACGAACTTTGCGTGTTTGGACAACACAAGCTTCGTAGATCTAGATCAGGGGCTTCAAAACGGCGTGTTACTTGTACTAGGACTAAGCGGGAGTGAGAGAATTGCATCAGAAAGTGGAGCTTACCAATCTAGTACTGATCAGTTTTCCATTCAGGAATGCAAGAATAACTCAGAGGTTACTGTTTTTCCACTCCAGCTGTTTTAATATCTCACTCTCTCATTCGAGCATGCATTCCTTGCCCTTCGGTAACTTAACGGAAGATTAGTGCATTATTCGTGACTGATGAATTGAGCCTGAATTGCGGACAACTGAGACCGGCTTTCTTGGGCTGTTGTGTGTCTATTCAATCGCTAGAAAAACCGTGTTCGATCAGCAAATGCCCTTACCACATGCATCCTTCGTTGTGAGAAATTTCGAGAATGTGAAAAACCTCTAACGTTTGTGGTTGCACCACATTACTTCATCTGTAAATTCTGCAATTGCTGAAATGGTGCGCTTGTTGCAGTTTCTGCTAGTGTGAGGGAAGATTTTGCCACTCTTGACGCCCCCTGGTAACTTTTGAGACATACTGTTCCAGGTTCACCCGCCAGCTCATCACTTGTAATGTATCGATTCTTGCTGGCGCTGAGTTAACGTGAGCGCAGGGAGTGTTGGATTGTTCGCATTCAGTTGCCAGTTCGGGCTTTTGTCTTCTCCTCGTGAAGACTCGCTGCGCTGAAGCTGCTGCCACTGACTGCACTCCAGTTTTGTTGCTTTCTTGCGGGGCTGTGAGCTTTCTGAAAGTAGCGCAGGAGTGCGAGGCCTGGGACTGGCTTGCAAGCATTGCAAAGCGGAGGTTTCAGTTTTTTACGATTTTGCAAGTTGGTGGACTTTGGTCGGATTTTCGTAATTGTCATTTGCAATTTGGGCATGTGTTTCTATGAACAGCGAACTGAAGAATGTTGGTGCGTTTGGGTGCAGATATCTCCACTCCCTGAAACTGATGGTGGGTGGACTCCATAACACAGCAATGTTATGCTTTGGAACCCTTTTGTTGGCACGAATCCAATTGGCAACCAGCATTCCATATTCCCACCATGTTTACAAACATATCACCAATCGCCAAAAAAAAAAAAAAAAAAAAACAAAAAAACATTGCATCTTCAATGCTTGCAAATACTTGGTGTGCATGGTTTTAGGTCTGACATACTTCTATTAAACAAGTCAAAGTTCGTTTAGGAGAAGGGATTGAGAGAGTGTGTGTCTGTACATGTATATATATGAACACACCTAAATAAGCATCATTGAGTATGTATGTACGTTTTTTAATCTCTACTATTTGGTGAAGTTTAGTTGGCTTTCCTTGGTTTGTTTTTTGGCATTCTCATTTTGTACTGTTTTTTGTATGTGTTGATGTCTGACATGGAGTTGAAAAAATTGATTTACAAGCATTACCATCCTTGTTGTCTTATAGAAGTTTTTAACATGTGGATGCAATTACAAGTGTATTATCAACTAAATTTAAAAAGATAATCATTTCTTTTTGTGAAGGGATTTGGTATTTATATAAGATTTATAAATCAATGATTATTAAAAGCTACACAAGTTTTTTATATTGCAACTAATAAAATATTTAACCATTTTTAATAAAGAAATGAGTAAGTATTAAGTATTAAGTTCTAAGCAAGATCAAAATAACTGTTAGGGACATAGTTCTTAGAACCTTCTAGAGATAAGTTTCTAGAACCTTCTAGAAGCAAGTCTCTGGAACCTTCTAGAAGCTTCCTAGTTGGTAGAAGTTGCTTGAGAAGCTTCCTAAATAGGAGTATATATTGGAATCGAGGCTGAAGAGTTCTTCAGTCTCGACAACACATCTCTTGGAGCTCTAGCTCACCTCTCTGGTATTATTCTTGTATTCATCTGATTAATCTAGTTCTTGCCAGTTCTTCTTGAACTTCTTGTTAGATCTCGAGCCTGTATTTCTGTGTCCGTGACAGTTTGTCGAGACTTCACCCACCTCAGATATCAGAGCTAGTTTCTTCCTCATTAGAGTGTGGATTACCCCTCTGCTTAGAAGTGTACTAGCATTTTAGAGGTTGCAGATTACCCTCCTCTAAACTGATACTTCTTTTGTTATAATATTGGAGTCTTATTCTTCTTGGAGAGAGTGGATTATCCCTTTTCTTGAAGCTCTTAAGGCAATTTAGAGGTTGCGGAGTACCCTCTTCTAAACCAATATTGTCTTCTTGTAGAGTCATTTTTGTCCTTCTCTTAGAATGGCTGGAGGCCAAGGCATTAGTATGACGGAAAGTTCGGAGTCCAAGTTGGATGCTATCATCAATACCCTTGCTACGTTATCGCAAAGAACTGCAGAGATTGAAGGAGTCATGGCAAGGCTTCATAATGATGGAGCATCTAGGATGGCACAATCTAGGTTGCACCAGCCTCAAACTTTTGCACTTGGAGAAGCAACTTTGCCTCGGGTTCGACAAGCACCGCTGGTTCTACAACATAAGGAACCCCGAATTAGTCTTCCGGACAAGTTCAATGGTATGCGTTCCAAGTTTCGAGGATTTTTCAACCAAATCAGGTTGATAATAGTTTTACAGCCCGAACGCTATTCAACGGAGGAGTCATGTGTTGGGCTTGTTGGAACCTTACTTACAGAGCAAGCTCTATCATAGTTTGCTCTTTTGTTTGAGAAACGATCGTCCATACTAAACAACTTTGAAATCTTTTTGGAGGCATTTGCGAAAGCATTTGGTCAATATGACAAGGTTCAATGGGCTACAACAAAGATCCGGTCACTACGACAAGGGATGCGCTCTACATCAGTCTATGCATCGGACTTCAAGCAATTAGCATGCGACATCAATTGGGATGAAGAAGCATTGATGAGTCAATTCTATTAGGGTTTAAGGGACAATGTGAAGGATTTATTGTTAACTCTTCTTGATCCGCAAATGCTCAATGAAGCTATTACCCAAGCTGTGAAGTGTGATAATCGCCTATTTCAACGTCGCCAAGATCAACGTTCAAGACAACATACGATTTGTCATGCCCCAGCTATGTCGACAAGCAATATGAATTCACATTCAGAGGTAGAAGATATGCAAATTGATGCGGTACGTGTCAAATCTCTTACTCTAGAAGAAAAAAAGCGGCGCATGGAGGAAGGTCTATGCTTGTATTGCGGTGAAGAAGGCCACAAAGTTGGAAACTGCCCCAAGAAGCAAAATCGACGTATTGTTAGGACTAGAGGCATGTTTGTTCAAGAAAACGAGGATGCCCAGCCACAATATGAACCGTGCGGCTCGACAGTGAAATATCGCAACAACAACCAGGTTCCTTTCTTTCTGCTCAACCTGCCCTTTGCTTCACAATCCCTTTGCTTATTGGCCCTCAAAAACTGAGAACTTTAGCATTATTAGATTCAGGAGCATCTGCTTGTTTCTTAGACGAAGAATTTACGAAGCGTCATAAGATCCCTTTAGTACAAAAATCCAAACCTGTTCACGTTGAGGTCATAGATGGACGACCTTTACTGTCTAGTAGTGTCACCCATGAATCAGAACCTATAGAAGTGACGTTTAAGGACCATAGTAGTCATATTATTTTTAATATTATTAGAATTCAATCAAATCCTATTATTCTTGGTCTTTCCTGGTTGGAAAAGCATAATCCATCCATAGATTGGAGGTTGCAGAAGATGACCTTTCCCACAAAACCACCCAAGAGCAAGCCTAGTAGAAAACCGTGAATAGAGAAATCCTTATTCATTGGAGCAAAAGCGTTTATAAGATCGTCCAAGGAAGGTACACCGTTTGTCATTTATGCGGCTCCAACTACCGGGGAGAAGATCTCGACAACAAGTATACCTGAGCAATATAAGGATTTTAAAGACGTGTTTCAAAAGAAGAATGCCGACATGCTACCAGAACACCGACCATATGATTGCACCATAGACTTGCAAGAAGGAGCACAACTACCTTTTGGCCCAATCTACAATCTATCGCAGACGGAGTTGGTGGAATTGCGGAAGTACATCCATGAGAATCTAGCCAAGAACTTCATCCGTCATTCAAAATTGTCAGCTGGAGCACCGATCTTATTTGTGAAGAAGAAAGATGGCTCGTTGCGGATGTGCATGGACTATCGAGGCCTCAACAAGATAACAAAGAAGAATCGTTATGCGTTACCCTTGATTTCTAGTCTCTTAGAGCAACTTGGACGTGCAAGGATCTTTACGAAAATCAATCTAAGGGGAGCTTACAACCTCGTACGAATCAAAGAAGGAGATGAGTGGAAGACAGCGTTCCATACAAGGTATGGCCATTTTGAGTATAATGTCATGCCCTTTGGTCTTACTAATACTCCAGCGGTCTTTCAACATATGATGAATGACATTTTCCGAGAGCACCTTGACGATTTTGTTGTCATCTATTTGGATGATATTTTGATATTCTCCAAAAACGAGGAAGAGCATGAAAAGCATGTTCGTTTGGTCTTGGAGAAACTATGCAAGCGAGGACTATATGCCAAGTTGAGGAAGTATTTATTTCACCAAATAGAGATGGAGTTTCTGGGATTCGTTGTGACTACGGAAGGCTTAAAGATGGATCCCAAGAAAGTGGAAGCAATCGTGTCCTGGGAGGTTTCAAAGATGGTTAGAGACGTACAATGCTTTCTTGGTTTTGCCAACTTCTATCGGATCTTCATCAAGAATTACTCTCAAGTTGCTGCTCCTCTCACTCGGTTGATATGCAAGGATAAGCTAGAATGGAGAACTCTAGCGGAGAAGGCGTTTCAAGACCTGAAGACAACATTTACTATGGCTTCAATCTTGGTACATCTAGACTTTACAAAGGCCTTTTATTTAGAAACTGATGCTTCGGATTTTGCTTTGGGAGATGTACTTTCACAAATGGGAGAAGACAAGAAGCTCTATCTGGTTGCATTCTATTCTCGAAAGTTCTCTGCTGCTGAAATCAATTATGAGATCCATGATAAGGAACTTCTTGCTATAGTGGATTCTTTCCAAGAATGGCGTCACTTTCTTGAAGGAGCTGCACACCCAGTGACCGTATATACAAATCACAAGAATTTGGAGTATTTCATGTCGGCTCGAGTTCTAAATCCACGTCAAGCTCGGTGGAGTATGTTGCTATCTAGGTTCGATTTTGTTATCACTTATCGACCTGGAAAGCAGCAAGGACTATCTGATGCCTTATCGAAGAGATCGTATCTT